ATGTCGCTACTCGGCAAACCCATCAGCTACCGCGCCACGCGACGCGACGCGTGCTGCCGACGATTTCAATCTAAATTTTACAATTTCCTAGAACGGCCCAGGGGTTTTAAGGCCGTTTGTTATCATATGATTGTGTAAGTGCCATTTTTATAATCATTTTTCTGAGTTTCATCATCGGACGTCGAGGCAGAATACGAAATTCCACCCGTATCACCTCGACGTCCGCCGTTCCACAACTGAGCGTTTTTCAAGACAGTTTTTGCCGCCTCCTGCCCGTTTGCCCCCTGTTCTATTGTAAAAAAATATTACTCACATTACTTCCTTTTTTACTGTCCTATGCTATGTTTTGTGTATCTAAGCGTCTTCGAAAAAAACCGAAAGAACAGCTTATCAATTTAATTTCTATTTTTATATGACTCAATTTATGTTGTCATTTACAATCATTCGTTTAAATGTAATGACAGCTAAAAATCGTATTTCCAAGGTATACAATTACTCAATGTTTAAAATTTTCAACTAATTACTTATCTACAAGGGATGTTACAAATTTGCTATTACATTAGCGCGGAATATTCAACATAGTAATTAATTTTCAATCATATTACCTACATACGCTATCTTCACATAAATCGTGAATCTATATTCTAAGAGATCAAATGCGTTTTAAATCATATAGCTATATATATTAAACGCATATGAATTACCAACCATGAGCAGGTTTATTTGGCAAATACTAAACGACCTATTTAAATATTGTTATTTTTTTAAATTATAAATACAATTGTTTTACACGGAATTTAATTTCAAAATGGATCGATGAGTAAATCGTTATCTATGGTTTTATTTTAAGGTTCTGTAAACTGTGACTGTCCTTGCATTATACTAACTAGTCTGGCCATAAATTCTGTTACAAATGAAAATGCATTTTTTTTCAACTTTTTATTTATAAAGGCTGTTAATTATCTTAAAGCCAAAATTTGTCGAAACCCCATTAGGAAGCAAAACATCTTATTGCGAGAATAATGATGAAGAGGCAGCAGCACCTAGCAGGAAGCTAGGAGTCTGTCGCGTATTATAAAACAAGACCTGAAGCTCAAGCCCAGCACGGCGACATTGATTCTCTTAAAAAATCTTATGAGCAAGCAGTGTCGAAATTTCCTTTGGAAACCGTCCGTAAATCTATAGATTCGTGACCAAACTGATAAAAGGCCTGTATAAAGGCCAAAGGTGGCCATTTCGTATAGAACATTTATTTTATTTTTTGCTGAGACTTTACCTAATAAATATGTAGATTGTAGGTATAAATTTAAATAATATTACATTACTTCATTAAAAATGCATTTTCATTTATAACAGAACTTATGGCTGGGCTAGGTATATTCTGAATGTTGTGTTTGAAGTCCTGTAATCCCCCCTAATTCATTGATATTTTTAAGCAAGTAGTGCCTTGTAGTGTGCATTAGCCACGGAGGCCGAGTTATGGTAGTTATATTGCAGCATACCTTTGTGACTAAAGGACGGTCTCTGGTGCAATGCAAATAGTCCATAGAGTAAACTATTTGTCCCCAATTCCCAGTGGAGACTATCCAAATATATGGTAAAGGCCGTTTCCGAAGGCAATGAATGTGTCAATAATAAACATGTCGAGTCCACGCTACGCTCACATTCTGTTACGAAGCGTAGACCCAACCTTTTCACCCTTATTTAGGAATTTTTATATGCTTTTGAAGAAATTCTTTTACATATTTCACTTTGACTTAAATACTCAATGAGCATACTATTTCAATGCCAAGTATTTAGTCTTAGTGAATATAGAAATAGTTTTAATAGAATTTGCCTTCCCCAAATTAAAGTAGGTACTTTTGGTTCACGGTGAATCTGTTATAATATAATTGTAGAGAAACATACAAATAAATGTACTATTTTTCTTTTTACGTCGAAACTTATTACTGTTGGCGCCCGCATCAAAGTTTTCCTATCCTGTTGATAAGAAAACTCAAGAATAAGTAATAAGTTGGTGAGGATTCGTGGCGCTGCGTTTTTTCATAAACTTTTCTCAGCGCCATACTTGTAGCTAGGAATTGCCAGTTATCCTCAACTTTGAGATACATTTAATGATTCAATCAAATGAAATATGTAATAAATATGATAAAAAAGTAATTTATAAATTCTTACCTCAAAAACAATATACTAGGTAGGGTACAAAAATAGCCAAGTACTTGTAACTAGGCATTTTAATAAAAGAATAAAGATTGAAGTTCGTATATTGTATTGTGTATCGTCTAAAATTTAGGCTTATTTATTAGAAGATGAATATACCATCAAAACATTCATAACGTCTTACGATTTTATTTCAACATTAATACAACTAAGTCGACTCTTCCGTTACGCATTTTTAAAAATGCATTTTGCTAGTCCCTACCTACTACTCATTTACATACTTTTTTAACACGTAGAGTAATGTAAATAATCTAATAAATTCGCATTTGGACAAGACAAATTTTAGCCTCATTCGTGTACACAAGAATTATTGTATTAGTTGAAATAACAATTTTTTAGGTTCTTGATGGTGTTCATGTGTTTGTCACTGTCGGTTTTCTCCACTATAGAAGAATACGAAGCAAGAGCTGGCATTGTACTTCTCTATATGGAGGCCGTAGTCGTCGTGTGGTTCGCTATAGAATTTTGTTTACGGTAAGTTTTGACATACATGCATAGTATAATTATTTAATGCTTCTTTAAACTATATTTAATGGACATATATAATAAAATTATATATAATACTTAATAACCTACGCACAACGGACCGATTATGAGTGTTAGTGCGGAAACTGTGTCCACCAACCATATAACCTTAACTGAGGATTTATAATGGTTTTAATATGATGTTTTTCCGGCCCAATGTTAAAGTGTTCTATATTACATATTTTTATTTTATACCTTCTTCTTTGTTTAAATATAATATACATTATGCTAAAGTGTAAGAAGCATGAAACTTAAAATAACAAACTAAAAAGCTTGCCAGCTATTGAACTGTGTATTTAAATGTATATGTAATATATGCCACGATTATCTGTACTGTTAGTGTATATATTTAGCTAGCAGCACTAGATATCTAAATATATGAGAGGGTGAGACCTAAGAACCTAACAACCCTTAAAAGCCCTACAGATATGGGTATATGACATAAATAGTGAATATATAAAAAAAGTACGGGATGTCTGCACCAAGAGACCTAAGGTAACAGACGGAGCCCTACGGGTAGGGTCAAAGGTTCAAGGTGGTGGGATTATCTCAAAGTTATCGGGTAGGTTCACCACGATAATTAGGGCTTGAAGAAGTCTTCACAACTTTGAGAAGGAGCGAGAAATTAATACAGAACAATATCAAATGTAATTTATTGTTATAAAACCATATCTTAAATACTACGAGTACTTACACCGTGAGCTGTTGGTGTATCACGCAGCTTTAGCTGTTAAAGTTTGGAACAACCACGCGAGCCGTTGATCAATGTTCAAGTGAAATCTGAACACAAACAATAAAGAATAAATTAATTCTAACTAAACTAAAAAGTATCGATAGTATAATATATCGATAATATTTGAAGGAAGTCAAACTAGAAGGTAAACGGGTAGAGATAGGAAGTGATTAATTCCATGTCGTAACTATGGGAGACTCTAAAAGATTCGCCAAAAGAGAAAGAGTTGAGGGATAAAAATTCAAAGAGTTTTTAAGAGCGTAGACTATGACTATAAAAAATCTGTGTTGAAATTATGAGATTAATGCTATACTTCCAATAACCGACAGCTAAATATTTTAACTTAAAAACAGATAATAAATAAAAGTAAATATTTAACGAACTCTAAACTATTTTGATTAAACCTAAACTCTTAATCAAAATTCTGTTCTTTATAGGCGGGGAAAACAAATTAATAATTAATGTACCAAATTAAATCCATCATTAAAAAAATTTCTTGTTTTAATATTACAATATGAAATTGATTTTTGGTAGTATTGTCTTTGATTAACATAACTTTTATTCATTTAATAAAACACTATTTTGACCGGATTGAAGTTATGTATTGTTATAAATTTACAACTATTTAACATAATTTTAAATTTATCCGACGTTTCGCGTGCTTTACAGCGTGCGTGGTCACGGTGACCGTCGGATAAATTTAAAATTATGTTAAATAGTTGTAAATTTATAACAATACATAACTTCAATCCGGTCAAAATAGTGTTTTATTAATTGATTTTTGATATTCAACTACTACCTTAAATGTTATTGTGTTTATTTTCTATCTGAGCTCATCATAAGACTAAGATATCTGAACATTTCTTGTTTCACTTTTATTCTAATAATAACTTTTAATGCCAATCATTGCATTAGAAAATTCATCAAGTAAAAGCTCTATTTCAGAGTGTGACTTCTCGTTTACATTTGGATTCTAATTTTCAAATAATTCAGTACTTTCAATCTGTTCTAAGTTCAATAGAATGAATAAATATCAAAACTATTATTATTCCACAATGTCTTTTAGTTCAATACTAAACATTTAATAAACAATAGTTTCTGTTTGAGTCTAAAAGGAGAATGACGCCTCCACCCAACAGAGACTTAATTATTCAATCAGACTCTTTGGCTCGACTTTCCGTTTTTAATTTACATTGCAAGCTGAGATTGTTTCATATAAATAAACAGATTCAATTTAACTTGCATAAAACCAGACTAACTTAAAAAAAATAAAACATCAGAAATAACGTCATTATAATACAACGAAAGACGATTTTTCACGTTATAAATTGTATAGAAAACGTTTATGAATTCTATCATACATAAAAGCTCATCAATATGTAAGTCAGTGATATATATTGTTGATAATAGCTCTACAAATCCATGTAGTCACGTACTCGCCCAATTATTATAAATAATAATAATTAGGGTGTTTAGCTTTCAAAATACATCCATATCTTACTTTGAACTTAGTTTATAATTAGTGAGCTTTTAAATGTCTCATTATCATGCCAAGTGGTATATGATCATTGAAATAATAAGTACTCATATAATGCAGTAATAAAATTATATGCAAAAAATACAGATATATACAAGCTACTTGTTATAGCACAAGTAGCTATGAAGCCACACAGGCATTGCGTAATGCATTATAAGTAAGTTGTATTCCTCAGGGGAGACTTGCTAATTAGCGTGGCTTTCGAACATTTACCGAGCTATTTTCCTTACTAAGTTGGTCAACAAGCTCTTGCGGAGTACAAGCCAAAAATAGCGTACTTTGTTTGTTAGGTTTCAACTATGACTTTATGTATTGTGATAATTATCTATTTGTTTTCGTTACTCATCGTTGTATTTAATTGCAGGTTGTGGTCGTCGGGATGTCGCTCTCGGTATCAAGGATTAATGGGCCGCCTAAAGTTTTTAAGGCGGCCTTTTTGCATAATCGGTGAGATACCTTCTTCTTATAATATTTGAATTTTAATAACTTACCAAAGATTTCAAATTTGGAAGGTAGCTTGAATTTTACCTGGAGTAATTATTTTAATAGGTGTGGAATATAGAAGCAGGGTGTCCACTTGGTAGCCGCTCCACCCAGAGACTACCTTGCCGTCGTAACGTAAAATATAGCTGCACGATTCGCCCACTTGGGTTTATTAATGTTGCTTTACGATAATATTATACCTCAACTTTGACCTATAAATGTCTTTCAGTAGCTTTTGTAGTATGATATTTTTAAACAAAGCCATTCACCTTAGCAAAAGGCTATTTGCTATTTTTAGCAAGTGAAATTGGTCGCGGTCCGAAACCAATCTGAATATCTATTACCAACATACGTTCCAAAACAACATACTTGTTTATGTAAATTCATTCGACACAACACAAAACCTTACAATATTACCATATTCTCAACATTTGCATAATATGTAACGGAGACAACACAAGTTTCTAAAAAATAATAAAAGTATCCTGATTCCTGACTTGCAAGTATTATCATTTTATTCCATTCCTCCTTCTTTTGGGTATTACAAACAATACCTAATAATATAAATTCATTAAAAGATATGAAAATGGCAATGCACCTGCAGCACCTAGCATTCTATTTGAAATGTTAATAATTGAGTAACCGTCACGTCATATGCCTAAATAATGTTTTTTTTAGATTTTACAACGATCATAGCGTCTATGGTAGTGTTGGGTATGGGATCCTCGGGTCAAGTGTTTGCGGCGTCAGCGTTGCGCGGTTTAAGATTTTTCCAAATCTTACGAATGGTGCGAATGGATCGACGAGGGGGTACATGGAAACTTTTAGGCTCAGTGGTTTACGCACACAGACAGGTACGATAGCTATGTTATATATTGTAGATTGGCGTAAGGCTTAATTTCAGACGTGAAAAATATATGTTCTATCACGAAGCACACGTTAGGTAAGCATTCTTTCCATTTTTATTTATCAATTCTGCGGATACATATATACTTCACTGCTGCATATGCTTCAAAAATAGTATGTAAACAAACACACATGACAATGAGTGGGTTTATAGTATAAATTGTTCAACACTGTTTACGTGGTGTTGAAAAATGAATGTGCGTGATGTACAATTTGATATTTATAGTGACGGAATAACATAACCTAATTACTTTAGGTAATTTTAAACAGATACAATATGTGGAGAGATTTACTTTTCAAAATGTCTATATTTTACATAATCATATTATAATCAACGTATTATGACTATTTGAAAATACTGATTGAAGCGATACAAATATGTCATTAGTTAACAGCTAAGAGCGGCCAAACCGTCTATCTTTTCATACAAACGCTCGTACGTGATTATGGCGTTGTAACAGATATTTCTTTGAAACTTTTGAACTAATAGGCACCTTGTGCACTATATCTAGGTTTCTATTAAAACGCGAAATCAAAATTTTTAGAAACAAATTCAGTACAAACCTCAAAAATCAGCCTTTTTGCACAAATTTTATATGAAGTTTGGGCGTTTATAATGTACTCATTAATTGTAACCGGAAATAAATATTTGCATAGAAACCTTGCAAATGTAATGGAGTTTCTAAATGTAAAACTTTTTTTTCATAATCTTGTAAGGCTTACGAAAAAACACGTATTTCTTGGAACAAGTTTTATCAAATTTCCGCACACATATTTTTCTTTCAATGTTATCGCGTTCTCACTTGCTGACATTGCGCTGGATGAAACAACAAGATTTTTGGCCATGCTCGCGTTGAGGTTCGTCGGACGGGGAAGGGCGCTCTTAACCACGTTCGAACCACATTAAAGTAATATAATTTCTTAATAAATTAGAAATATTTATATTTGCCACAACTTTACGAAGTCACATTCAAGCGAAACGTCGAAACGCTTTTAAAAGTTAAAGATAGTATTTGTCTAGCTTTATTAAAACTATTGTGACTGAGAAATAAGAATCACAGTTGTTATAACCTAAGTATTTAAGCGCTGATTTTGTAGTGACGTAGCAGATACGGTATACAAATTGGTATCGGAACATCGTAATTTCCTCTAGGGGTTCGTATACATCTAATATATTAAAGGGATCAAAGACATACAATAGTTTCATATTAAGCTTTCATGATTGAGTATATGTAAGCATATGTGAGCATCAATAAAGATATATCCGAGAAATTGCGGTATTTCCTACGTGTTGAATGTTGATATTGACTTACCAAACAGGTATCAAATTATATCCAATAAACAAACGTAGAATATAGCCTTTATCCGTATTGAATTCTTTAGTTTTTTATTTTCGAAAATTAAACAAACATAATTTTATTTGAATAAACCACGACATCTGTCAAATAAACATTAATATTTTTTATCATAACCAACTACATAATCTAATAAAATAAAATAAATAATAATAAAATAATATGAGTTATTTAGTCGTAAATAATAACAATAAACAAAAACACGTGTATCATTTATTGATAGTTGTTTTCCCAGCGTCGACTTGAGTGATGCTAAATCATCGTTATTTGTACGACTCGTCTCCTCCATAGAAGCGATCCGAGCGAGTCATTTTTCGTAAATCAAAACCTTTGTAACGTTCAACTTGTTCAATGCGGTAGAAATATCCTAGCCCTATTCAGATTCCTTTAAGCATGAACGTTGGTTTGTGGCTGTGAATTGTATTCTCTACTTAGGGTATCCGGTACACCGCTCTACAATTCAGTTATATTAAGTTCATCTTATTGATATTATATCAATAGGTTTCTTGTAGCAAAGTAACGAACAGAGCGCATAAATTTAAATACCTTGTAACATTCATTAAATTATATAGAACACGGTTTAGATAAAGTTAAAGGTCACGAAGTACGTGATCGTTATTATGCTTGCTTCAAAAGCAAGATTAAAAATCAATCGAGCTTTTAATAAGATATAAATTTCCCAGTAGGTACTCCTTTGAACTTAGGTATTTGACCTCTTTTAATATATTTGGATTTGTAAACGTTTCAATCCGTCTGTCGAACGCGAAAAGATGTTATCGTCGCTTGTACAGAAGCACGTGAAATATTGAACATCGAAGTATAAATAAACTTTACATGCCCTTATAAACTTAAATAGAAATCATTTTATAAAGAATCTTGGTATAATATCTATCGTGGCTAGAGAAAGTAAGCGAACACAAAAACTATTGTTTGGTTGATACATTTCTATGAATAGAAGAAAATTATACTTTGCCGTTGTAGAAGAATCTGGCAGTATTACAATACTCAGTGAATAATGGAGAAAGTAATGCGATTCATAACACCGGTGCTGTCTTCGTAATAAGCGCAGCATCTTACTTTTTTGTTTAGTAAAATTTAAATGTAACCAATCAAATTTTATGTAAGGGAGATCCCACCTAAAACTTACTGTAAAAAGGTTATGTTTGTTTCAGGAACTGATAACTACGTTATATATAGGGTTTCTGGGACTGATTTTCGCATCGTTTTTAGTTTATTTGGCCGAAAAGGATGTTGCTGATACCAAATTTAAGAATTTCGCGGAAGCTCTTTGGTGGGGTGTTGTAAGTATGAAAACACTAAATATGGATCGACATTGCCTCTAATGGATGAAGCCCATCATTTGATATTAAATCCAAAATTTACATTACGCAAAAAAAGAATTTCACTTTCCAATTTGACTCAACTTTAAATAAATAACATTTTAAGACTTACCTATAATTAATGAAATATTATTGCGTGAAAAAGCAATTAAAGACTCTTCGTGTCTCATAAACTTTAACCAAAGAAAGTACTTAATGACAAATTTTGAGCTTTTCGTCATTTCAGAGAGGGTTGAGACAAGGTCATTCATAATTACATTTCATTGGTATTAGGAATAAGTAAACATTAAGAAATTTTCTTAGATCACGCTGTGCACCGTGGGGTATGGCGACATGGTACCGCAAACCTGGCAAGGAAAACTCATTGCCTCATTTTGTGCTCTTCTAGGAATATCATTTTTTGCTCTTCCCGCTGTAAGTATGACTTTTATATCTACAGCATTTCATTACATCTGGTTTCGTAGGAAGTGTAGGCCAATTAGGCAATTTGCTTGAGAACTGTTATATTATAAACGGGAAAATCCTGCCCTCCGCTAGGGCATAATTAATAATAATTTTACTATATATTTACTAAACATCTTCGGCCTTATTTTAAAACGTAGACGTTTATATTTGGATTTTTATATGGAAATTACATCGCAACCATTGTAAGAAATATGGTATTAAATATAAATACATTTTCTCACGTCAATTTGTTCTGAAAATGTTAAAAGTAGCAATAACGATAGTACATTCTACGGCTATGTTAAGCGTAGTTCTTTTATTAATATTTTATAACCTCGTGAATTATTAAATATTTTCTCGGTTTTTTTGGTTAGGGCATACTAGGGTCGGGTTTTGCCCTTAAAGTACAACAACAACAAAGGCAAAAGCACATGATAAGACGTCGGCAGCCCGCGGCTACGCTTATACAAGCTCTATGGCGCTGCTACGCCGCTGATGAGCACTCTATGAGTGTCGCTACATGGAAGATACATCAGATACCGCTACCAAGCCCTCAAATTAGGTGAGATGTTATCACCTTCATAAGGAGGCGTCACCGATTGTTGACGATAGGATGAGATTTTTATAATCATTATTTTTGTTTTAAGTCTTGGTATGTTATCCTAGAATCTGATAGCGATTTTAAAATAACATATTGGGATTATTTCGTTTTTAAATTAAATTTCACTTATTTAGTATTATATATTAAGATTAGTATTATATGTTAAAATAAAATATTATAACTGCTATCATAAGATAATCTTTATTTGATATTAATAGGTAAAAAAAAACAGTGGCGCTAATGTTAAACCAATCTCAAAAGACTCTAGACTAAAGTATCTAAGAGTGGTAAAATTATTTACTTCATTTTACCACTCGACTCGTCCTATACGACGCGTAACCTCAGCCCTCCTTGGAGATCAATCTAATTCTTGTATATTAAAATAAATTATGTAACCTATGAACTAGGTATACTTAGTATGAAAAAATACCATATGAAGATCGTCTGTTTCATGAAGTGTATAAAAATAATTAGTGAATCCCGTGACCACGCAAATTTTGCATGTCTATAAACTTTACTAATTACAATTTTAATAACTCTAATTTATTCAGTGGGTGGAGTAATCACGTCATAAAAAGCATTCCAAACGTTAAGCATACGTTGATAATACGAAATACAAAGTAAATGTTAATTAGGTATACGTTTGACAGTCGGGTCATGAGTGCATCATTCAAGAACAATGCTTCCTTTGTGTCGCGTCTACCAACAATTCGAAGACACAAAAGTACTTCCCTGCATTCACCCGCACCCCATTCGAAGCCTGCACATCGGTACGACGTCAACGCAAGCGCAGAAAATCTCGGTAAGCATTTGTATTGAAAACAGTGATAAATCTCACTTTATTTCATTGTCAATGTTAATTACATGTGCACAATAGAAACATTTTACTACACACAAGAGTACAGTGATTTGTGTTTAATATGCGAAGGTATACAAAGATACATTAGATATGGTAACATAATAGATTGTCATTTTGTTTTTGTGTGCTTTTGTTTTTCGTGTATAGCGATAAGTTAAAACCTTCGTCTTAATTCTGAAGTTAATAGATTTTAACATCGTAAGTACATACAACCCTTATTATAATATGCTAACGATACTATAGGCACACAGTCTTTGTGTTTCTATGGTTTTCATTGTTTTGCTTCACGTCGAAGGATTATTGTTATTCACAGAAATAGAGATCTATTTGGACTAATAACATTGAAAACAAAATAATAAATCAACGTCAAAATAAATTTCTAAACGCTCTTAGTAAACTTTACACGTCGAAGTAGATTTTCAACTAACATAGCATGAAACTACCAAACATAGCGCCACAGCCATTCCACAAACATGAAGATAAAACTATGACAAAAGGTTGGTTTTTGTATCGACCCTCAAACGCAACAGTTTAGAGCCACATCAATATCACAAATATCTTTATTTTAGTAGATGGAGGGTGACATGATATTATGCCCTGTTTCATAGATAATCGCACTACGGAAGGGGATCGTGCGTGTTGTCTACTTCATTGTTGGAAAAGCTGCTTTCAAGGTTTTGTTCTTCATCTTTTAGACGGCACTATGGCATGAAAGTTAAAGTCAAGAAAGCTGCGTTTATTATCTTTATTTAGACAAACCTTTCATGATGTGTATACACGAACGGCGTAGCAGCAATGATACCGGATAGGATGTCTTAAATCCGGCTGACAAACTGCATCTGTTAGCTCGAAACACTTGCTGGTCTATTAAATACTTCTTTCTATTTTTCACTATTTTGAAATAAAATGCACCCGCGTAGTACGTAACGCTTCGAATACCTAACTGATACCGCTCTCATAAGCTTTACTATATCCATTTGAAGAACAAATGCCTTCTATAACTTGAACTGCTTTGATAGCGTTTACTGCTCAAGTAGCCTAAGAAATTGGAGATTCAATTCGACATATTTCTTTTTCTTTATGAATCATTAGCTAGTTAGGACTATTTCGCATCATAGAACGCAGTTCACACAAATGATTTCCTGATTTAATAAACTGAACAAGCATAATTCTCTTACTGGAATGGCTTTAATTAAGCTTCGATTTTAAAAAGCCTATACAATAACACCGCTTTGCATTTGTTTTTGCATGCCAGGTAGACAATTAGGTATATAAATAAAATTAACAATTGTTTTTTCATTTATATGATTTCTAAGTCAACCATATACCGACCTTAAAAATCTGAAAATAATATGTAAATTTTCTACTTTATAGGCCGTCTCAAAATAAATATCAAGTTACGGAATAGCTTCTTTAAATTAGCATTATAAATATGGTTGAGTTTAATAGACCCAAACAAAATATTTTTCCCTAGTATGAAATAGTTTTAAAATTGGTCAAGATTAATGGCATATAATTGAATTTATCCCACATATAATTCAAGGCTAAATTCATATTTATTATAGGCCAGATGATAGCAAAAAGCACTCTGCGTTGTATTGCATTGTTGGATTTCCCAAGAGGCGAAGTAGGTCTGACCCAGAGAAAAATATTAAGACGTATGGACAATTTGTAGGGCTCTCTTTGTCCGATTACAGTAAGGGAAAATCGGTATTCATTTTATACCTTAACCCCTCTTTCCCATAAAATAAATGTATAGTTAAGTAATATTTCTCACTTTTAGACCAATATTGAAAGTGTAAATTGGTTAAAAGTGTTTTAAGTAATAAATAATAAATTTTATGCATTGTTTCCAACAGAACTCTGTTGAAACACTTCTTAGTTCTAGCGTAGACCTTTCGCTACCTCAGAGTCTTGCTACGAAATTACAACTAAGCGCATTAACTACATAAAGAATGGTATTAATTCAATACCTCCTGAACAAGAATAAAAAGTATTAAAAATCCCGTTTTAAATATATTTTATCATATAATATACATAATATTTAAATTTGACCTTTCGCTTATCAAAAATTATGTGCAATACGTATTAAATTTATTAACTCTTTGGACTATTTAACCAAAACAATAGAACGAATCTAATTAAAATGTATAAATTTAATTACTTTTCAAAAAGAAATTTATGTATTGATCGATTACTAACAAGTTCTGATTCTGTTGAAACTCGACCTCTCTGGTCTTAATTAATTGAGTAGCTGCATTAGCTCTTCGTGAAAGGTGAATTAAAAATTATTTAATGGAACGTATTCGATTTAATTCTACTTGGATCTATAATAACCCTTCATAAACATATAACAGTAACACCTGGGTAAGAAAGAGATAACAAATGGATCGATAGTTTGCTTAGACATTAACAACTACTGCATTGACCTCATTATTTAGGTGGTATTTTTATGCAGTATAAAGAAATTATTAATTCATAACTCCTTTTTCTGTTTGCTGATGCTACTTTAGAAAGTTAACTGTTTGGAGTTAATGTTATCAATAAAATAATATATTTAATAGTAATAAAGATAATAAAATACAAAATTCGTGGTCAATAGTAAAATACTAAAAACGAATGTTTTAAAAGTTAGGGTCATCAAAAAACCTGTATATACTAGGAAGTATGGGTCCAATGTCAAAGTGAGCGTATGTATGGGTTGGCAGGGGCTACAATTCACCACTCAGGGTGCACTCGAAATATCAACTCAGCCCATAGCGTCGACTCGGTGGCCGAGACAGCGCTCTCCAACAAAAATTCAAATGGTAAGCGTTAAGGGGTGTGGCTCATGAGAGACATTTTAGAATTATCATACAAAAACAAATTGTACAAGTAATCCTACTTATAACGGTAATAAACGTATGGAGTAATGTTACTTTTTGTCTCGCAATAAACGATTTGGAAATAAATGTGTGGACTGCGTTTATGATGCGTTTTAATCATTGATCAAGAATACTGAAATCTGAATATAGTCGAATTAAAAGTAAACCCGTTCTCTTAGGAGCTCAGTTTTGTTAATAAAGTTTTAAATTCATCAATACATATCAATAATAAACGGATTATTCACAAGAGTAAGAAGTTGCCATAGTTCATCAGTCACGAAGTTTTGGTAGGTACCAAGGGTTGTTTGTGTTGACTCTTTGAGAAGTGTCATAAAGTTCCTAACAATGTTCTGGCGAGACTGTTGACTAGACTATGAACTGCACAATAGTACGATGTTGTTAAGAATAAATCAGATTTAAAGGAGTTGTGCTTCTATTTTGAGCAATAGTTATATCGTATAATAACCGTTAAAAAAATATATGTAATAATTTCGCTTGAATTTGTAAGGATTATAGATATAATATCAAAGTATATAAATCTACCGAGATAATGTAAATGCGTTCAACAATAATAATCGCTTTTCTCAAAAATAATGTTTTTATGAAACATTCTAAATCTTTATACCTAGGAAAAAAGATGTATCTTATGTTGAATGTGTTAGTCTCACCGTTGTAAAGACAAAGTGTGTCATCTGTATGTATTATAAAATAAATAATAATAATTCCGACCAAATATAATAATTTACAATGCTTTACGCAGACGAAGAGGACGAGCCCCGCTGTGTAACACTTACTCCGCGGCATAAAGCAGCAATTAGATTTATAAGAAAGGTATGATATTTCCTTAGTTTTTTCGTAGAAATAATAGGATTTAAATTTGTATTTTATGAAATCTGCTTTAGATAGCAATATGATAATTATTATTAATATTATAGGATAATGAAAAACAATTTAAGCTTATATTTACGTACCTCACATACCTCACACAATTCCAATATCCCAACATAGAGTACTAAAACAACATTCTTACATTCCTTAAATAAAACGAAATCCATTTAATATTCTATTTAAAAACAATACATAATCATACATAAACCTTTTGTACAACAACACTGCATTTTATTACTCAGCAATATAATATTAATGAAATGAAAGAAAGAACAAAGCGAAGAACCTAATCAAGGAGCATCTTGAATTATTAAATTATGTTTACTGTGTCCAAACTTCTGCTTAACCTACGGCCTCATCCAATTCCCAAGTTCCTTTTAGGTGCTTAAATAAATGATAACTTTAAAAATCGCTTCTCACTTCACCCATCGCGTTGCCGACCTCGTATCCGATTCAATTTTATCGTTGCCTTACAGTAGATCGCATCAGATGTTTTATAGATATTCAAGAAGTTGAAAAGTTAAGTCTAGTTTTACTTATTAAGTTTTCATGATTACCCTTTTACGGGGAAATAACATTTCTTTTACTAACATCTAAAACTTGGGTCAAAAGCTTTGCCGAGTTCCTTTATTTGTAGACTAGAGCTTTCAAACCATAAAAAAATTTATGGGTCTTATGAAATCTTAACAGATGAAGTATTTTGTGGCCCGACGTAAATTTAAAGAAGCGTTAAAACCATACGACGTAAAGGACGTTATAGAACAATATTCCGCTGGCCACGTCGATCTGCTGAGCCGAGTGAAAAACGTCCAGAATAGGTATTATTTCTTAGGTTACCAACGCATTGCATATGCACCGATTGAGTTAAGGTCAACAGACAAAAAGTAAACTCAATCTCGGCTCGCTTGACTCCATATCAATTTGATGTTCGGTCATAAGGGTGGAGTCAGTCAGTGTGAATGCAAAGCGATGATTATCTTCAGTTTATCCCCTAAATTTGCATTTGCACAATAATTCACTTAAAGTTTGAACTCCTTATGGTTTGGGCTCTACACCTAATAAAGTAGTATGTCTAAATCTTTTTCCTAAATCTAGAGTAGTTAGCTCGAATGCTCGATTTTATACGTTTTCCGACAAATATCATTAAAGGTCATTGATTGTCTTGAAACATTTCTATATTCTTTTTGGGGTATTCTTATCTACAGTAGAGATAATCAGTGACTTTAAATGATTCGTATTTGTGCCGTTTGTTCAAGTAGAAACAAAACATAGAAAATTTCTACAGTATTTTACCTATTATTTACCTCTCCTCGTTTCCTTTCTTCATCTACCTAGTTTAATCATAAATTGGTACATTTTTCTACAAAAGCATGAATAAGCGTAGAAATTTATTATTATCTTATAGTCCATCCTTTGTTTCGCTCCGGCCAGTGAACTTTTAACTAGCTACTTATACACAAAACATTTTTTTTAATTTACATAAATCTAAGTCCATACTAACCATAGATTCCGTCCGTACTAAACAATTACAGAGACAAGTTAAAACAACATTGTAACACTACGAAATACGAATCTATAGGATAACAAAGTAATTAAAAGTTCCGACACATTTAATGTAGACAACAAGGGACGACTTAGCACGGTAAGGGTTTACTTTAATGTATGTGTCGCATATGTCCTGAAGATGTTTTGTTTTCGTGTAGCTCAAGTATTTTGTCGCACGCAAGAGATTTAGAGAAGCATTGAAACCATACGATGTCAAAGACGTGATTGAACAGTATTCTTCAGGACACGCAGATCTCCTTAACCGAACCAAGAACCTACAGTACAGGTGAGCAATAACCGAGACAATGGAGTTGTTATTATAAGGAAATATAAAAACGCTCTGAGCTGGTTGCGCTCGTTCTCAGTTCGACTGTCCACGTTTATGTGCCTAGTGCAGGTTTAATGGTTTCTTTTTAAAACAATCGACTGTTAAATTGGCCTCACTTATTCTATTACCTTACGATATTTTTACCTAATGTATTAATAGTTTGCACATTGACACAAATTACCTAAATTGCTTGTCTGATGCATGAATATGTTATTATTTGTATATTATCATTCTTAAAGCTTCATTTTTTAAATCTGAATGTGAAAACAAAGCTGCTTTAGAACAGTTTTGTCTAAAACGACGTAATATTTTTGTGAAACCTAAAAAATTGTAACTTAATTATTTTCATTGCGTTGACAACGCTTTTTTATCTTGAAAATCTACCAGAAACGTCTGACGATGCAGCAACGGGGTCAATTTTTTTTATAAATAAATTATTCATTAAGTGCTGAATTTCAATACACTATTTACAATCGATAGCAATACCCTTTTTTGTATTAAAGAAGTTTAACGATTTTTATTTATATTTGACATGTGCTGGCATTAATTACAATACGTAAATTTTCGTTAGTAGAGTTATAGAGTTTTTTTTTACCAAAAATAGGTACGATACGAATGTTTCTTAGTTATGTTTTTGTGAACGTAAAATTAAATAATTATTTAATAGAACTATAAAACTCATTTCAATAATGTATTTGTTACGATTGATATTCGTGTTAATGTTCGTAAATCACTATTTTAGTAAGCAAAAATAAACATCCAGCTATGAATAGGTACAATTTGATTGCTGAATAGAACATGTATCAGCCAATGTTTTCACATTTGCGAATGTTCAAATAATAATAATGCTTTGCAGTGTTAACTGTAAATAATGCCTGTCTATTTTTAATATGTTATTCATATCGTATGCTAATATATTTGACTTCTAGGTATATTATTAGTATGATTTCATTTGTTAGGAATGAGAAATCAATTACAAAAACATTAAGGAAATCTTGCAGTCAACTAAAGTATTATGATAATCAGTATCTAAGGAAACTGTTAGAGGCTGACATGAATTAATTATTTTTTATGTAAATTAAAGTATGCACCGTTTGAAAAAATCATTATGAAATTGATATTTTATCTAGGTTAGATCAAATTCTCGGCAAGCAAGGTTCAAAGGCAAAAGATGTCTACGCGTCGAAAATAAGCTTGGCTTCTAGAGTTGTTAAAATTGAAAGACAAGTGAGTAAAAATATTTTATTTTTTACTAACAACGTCAATGCAATATAAATATATAAATATTTAATTAAAGTTTTGGTAAGGGATATAAACGCATATTAATAACTGTTATCATTTATAACAATAGTAAACGAATTAAAAGTCTTAGGGATATATTGATGTCAGCATCACTTGTTAATTATAAAAAAAAAACTGATAAAAACTAATGAGACTTATAGTTCATTAATGATTGATATCACTAGCTTATGTCTAATTAAGCCCCACTTTTTATTTTCAGGTAGATGATATAGAAAATAAGTTAGACCATTTACTAGAGATGTATGAAGAAGATAGACGAGTAGCGAGAAGAATATGTAATGAAGCGAACAGTAACGCCAAAGGAGGAGCTTCTGGGGACAGCCACACCCGACCAGCAATTACGGAAAAACAGTACTCAGAACCAAATTCACCCTTATGCCGAACATTTGAACAACCAGTACATGCTTCTATTCCTCCTATTGCATTTAAAAGACCAATGAATAGAGGATACTCAGATTTGGGCGCTAGGTTCATGCGCAAGAAAGTTATAGTAAAGTAAGTTTTTAATTATGTTATTTACGTTTAAAAACCTATAATTTGATCAGATTACTTTTTATTTAACATATTAATATAAATTTTCCAATATTGGCTTGGCTTGGTCCCTCCCACACGAGAAGTAACAAAGTACACTATAATCCTTTGGTGATGCTATGTAAAGTTTTTTCTCACAACCAAAATAAAAATTGGAATTTATAATATTATGAAATTAATCAAAACAGTTGTGAGATACCTACTTATTTATCTCTATACGTTGAACTAATATACCATTATCGTTTTGGTCCACTAAATTCAACGGAAAAAGATAAAATAACAAGGATAATGTTTGCTTTTCTTTGTCCTCTATTTTTCCTTTTATCTAGATTCACGTTTGTATTCGTGTAGATTTATGGAAACAACATGTTTGGTACATAAAATCAGGATACTACTATGCCAAATACAGCTTTTTATATCATGTAGATTTTATATTAATAGATTGGTAGATATATTTAAAATTATGACATTTCAGTTCACCAAAATATACACTTTCAGAACATCATCAAGTCGAAATGGCGAGTCTCCGAGAGATGACGAAGTAGTGATTGTAGTACCAACCGATAGGGAAGATACTCCCCCCGAGGCTCATCACAGATAGCTCTGGTAATGTCATTAATTTTGATTGCCTATATTTTCCGAAATATACTTAACCCATCTCCATACACACAACTACAATCTTCATACAACGTTGTTTCAAGGGTGAATTTATCGTTTTACAAGGCCATACATCACGTGTACCTCCGCTTGTTGCATGCAAAACTATGACACTCTTGAGACTCAGCCCGAACGCGTATTTAAGTTTTACGCTTAAACAAACTTAGATAACTTGCGTGTATGCCCCAAACAGGCATACGGGCTTGAGCACTTAATATATGCGTGTATGTTTTAAGCCTTTTTAGAGCCTAATTCAAAACGTTGAAAGTTGATTACGTAGGAACGAAAAATTTATAATGTCACTAACGTGGTATTTGTTTTTTATACGTGAAACGTTATCATTGCCCCAGGTATAACTTTGAGAATATTAAAAAATTGCAGCATCTTATGAAGACTATTCGTCGTCGACGTCTCTCTGACCGACAACGTCGTGGGCCAGCCCTCTAGTGGGCCGGCGACTGCGTGAGTGACCTTGCCGTTTCGATGTGGAATGCGAAAGCGTTATAGTTTCATTCTATACCCACTCGTTCCTTTGAATGAATACGATATGTTGTATTTAGATGCCGAACTTTTCTAACGTGTAGTTCTCGTAAATTAGATTTTTGTTTTATGAACGACGTTTAAAAGTTTAGGTGTACTTATGTTTTATAGATTTTAATTCAGCATGATTGTGATTAGTCAAGTAGTTTCAGGTTCCTTTTTTAATATCTACTGAATAATTTAATTCAGTATCAACTTTTACTGTTTGTATTTTATATCTTTTATGAGCTTTGTTGATGTCTTTGTCGTGTATTAGTCTTGTTCCGATATAATATAAAAAGGATGGGCTCAACATTTTCTTAAATACATTTATACGATATGTCAATCTATTAATATAAAACTGAAATTTACAGATTAAACTGAAACATAATAATAGAAATGTGATGAATGAATTATCAGTAGGATTATTTCATAAAATGTTTCAGAAGTATGTGCGAGTTGTTCCGTAGAGGTTGAAACGGAAGCTGGCGGGACACGGTCTGATAGTTCGGGATCGCCTTCCTGGTGCGAGGGCGAAGGTCCGGACGAGCGGGGCTACGGCTCTGGTGACTCACTCGCTGAGGAGACGGCCCTGCTCGCAGATACAGTGCCTCCGCCTCATCAGCCCCGTATTTTGCGTCAACAAAGGAGGGACGTAGCAGTTGACTTACATCTATTGCGCCCCGATGTATGAGACATGTTTATAAAAGTGATCAACACAAACAATTTATTTAAATGAAATACTATCTTCGTTGGGTTAAAAACTTATTACTTTCATTTCATAATTATTTAACAAGCATTAAAGTGACGTGACCTACTTAGATGATTTGATCGATACTGATATTATATTGAAGCAATCGCAAATTTTTACAGTTTATATCTTGTATCTAGCATTAAATTTTTAACTAACTAAATAGCAATGTAGTAATTTTATTAAAATGTCATCATTGAGCTTTGACTAAAATATCAAAGATTAGTGGTTAGGTGATACCTAATTGTAATATTACTTGCAAACAGTATAATGATTTTTCCAAAAGACAATTGCACCCATTCAGTTTTACCACGGTGCCTATACGTGACTGTGCAAAGTTCGTCTATTACGACAACATGCAACGACGAAGTATTACAATAAAATATTAAGTTAATTATGGTGTAATAAACAATAAATATAAGGTGTAACGTTACCTACTATAGCACTGTACATTGTTAAGTGCATATTATTTAAATCTTATCAGCAGCTTACGTTATAATTATTATAAAGTACTATATATAGATATTTTAACAAGTGTTTATTTTCCACGAAGCAATTGCAGAAACATTTACCCTTATTGTATTATTTGTTTCCGTTTAAAGAGTGTTGTTGTTGTGTTTCTTTTAATTTTGGAGTGTTTTTATAGAACAGGGGGAAAACGGCTCACCTGATGTTAAGTGAGCCAATGGACACTCTCAATGCCAGAAGGCTCGCGAGTGCGTTTCTGGCCTTTAAAGGTTTTGCTTTAAACGACAAACTCTAATAAAATAACACACCCCTTTACTAGCGAAATAAGCGGTTTCTTTTACCACATATGTTATATTTAATGAGACTATCATTTTACGCTGGTACCGCTAATTTGCTTTCATTGTGTCCGGATAGAGAGAAAACCTACTCGTACTTATCGCATCCCATCTTTATAAGCGACTTCGTACGCACTTGTCACTTTTAAAGATGGGGTTTTCGTAAAACCGTTATTGTATGTATGTTTAGGCGTGGAATGTCTCTGCGTTGATAAATTGGTCAGCATAATATAATAGAAATATAGATATATACAAACGTTATAACAACGAAAGTGAGTGTGATTGTTGAAGTGACGATCTATACTCGAGGACGCATGCCTATGCACAAATTCGTAGTAACTTAATCATTTAGAACAAATTAAAATTTTCGTAATGTTATTAATTGTTTAAAGATAATTTATGTAGCTGTTACTTGCATAGTTTTCAATTAGTAAACAAAATAGCAGCTCTTTCCTATAATGAAACGGTAATTTAAGCATCTAATAATTTATTGAGCTGTGATAGTTAATAATAATTTCATTTGTAGAGCATTAATGCACATAACATACGTCCTTTTTCTTACATTATAAGATATTCTATAAGATCTGGTATCCTTAAATATATATTTATAAGAGAATAAAGAGGAAGATTCAAATGAAATTTATGTTCAAACTAGCTCCAGTTAAGTGATAGAATTTTGACGAATATAAAAATTAGTATTATTTGAGCCTAAATTCTTCGATAACACAATTTCTCTCGTAGATTCACAGATCTAGTCTATGAAACTACCTTTTTATTTATTTTTTTTGTCACCTATATTCCTGTTAGTGGTTAAATATTTCTCTAAATCTGAAATCTCATGTCTAGTCTGATGAATAGGCGACTGCTGTATCTTAGTGCTTTCAAACAAATCACATTAACTGGCTTTAAACCAAGAGTACCTTAGTAAACAGTAGCACCACCTTGCGGGACCAAAATTTCCTCTCGAATATAATACACTTTCGATTACGACCATATTTACACTTCTGCAACTAACCCTGTAGTTATTAGCTTGATGGTGCGTTGACCATTTTCTGGGCCACAATTATCTGCAATTCCGGTTTTTTTAAATCACCGTCGGTATAGATTGCCTCAATTTTATATTATGGATTGTAAAATGTGAGTTTGTTATTTTTCTTTGCAAGCAACATTTCCGAGCTATGTTTCTTTACAATATGAATTGTGAATTAAAAAAAAAATTAAGTGTTAATGTTTTATTTTCAGTAAATGATTCCTATTCGAACCAATTTTACAGTTTTGGAAATGTTTCTTAAGAAAGCAGGGTAAAATCGCCTGACATTCAGTATGCATAAGAATAGAGTTGTAATATCTTAAGTACTTAATAAGTAAAATATGCGCTTACATAAGGAGAGGTTAAGCTATAAAATAAAACATTATAATATTAAAGGCCCTTGCCTTAAACCTAAGTGCTACTTTGGGACCTAGCTCTGCCTAAATAGTATTGTACACAGCAATTACAGTAATATTAGCTCTAGTATTGTCATACCTCTTTGTTAATAATAGTATATTTCTCATCTATTGTAACTCAGGTTAAAAAAATAAGTAGATAAATAATTAAGACAATACTTTGTCAAACACATTCTAGCCCTTACTTCGAACGTCATAGTAACATGTATTTTTTCTGTAGGTATATGGGTAGATATTTTAAAAACCATTTTATATTTTTAATAGCATACTAGTTTATCTAGAAGTATAAATTGAATTTAATTTGCAGAATCTAGACCAAGAATTAAGCACTATAAAGCCTTTGTAATTCAAAAAGTTTAGTGTTATCGTTTAGAACAAATATTTTTATTACCTTTCTCGTAACACAGGAAGCTCTATCAAATGTAATATGTTCTGTATTTAAGATGTCTACATCGTCGTCCTACATACCCAGCATAATTTATATTTCATAACTTCTGCTTATATATATAGCTTACTTTTACATAAGTACCTACATACGAGTAGGTAAGTATGTACAGCGCAAATAAAAATAAGTTATAATCTGAATATAGTAGTATTTTATTTACACTTTAATATTGTTATTTTTTGGATTTGTTATTTATTTATTATTATGTTCAAAAAGATATTATAAGTATTATAATTGAAGAACAACCATCCCCTAGTTTTATTTATTCAAATGCCTGTATGTATTTCAATAAACGACACATACATACTTGTATACCTTTAAATTTATAGTGTCTGTCAATGAAAAAAAACTATTTTAAGTCCGTGCGTACGATCGGTGTTTTATACTGTGCATCTGTTTCTCTAATTATCAGTGCTTGAAATGTAATGATGCCAGTATCTACGATAAAAATAGATAAAGTTATACAGGTAAGAGTTAAAAAAGAGAAAAAATACAGAAACGTGTTCAACGTCTGTTTTTTTATAAGACTTGAAAATCTTGTTGTATCCGACTTCCAAAATTTGTTCAGCATTGGTTTTGAGATATGTACAATATAAAAAAGTAAATTATAAATTATATCGTAAATTTATTTACTTAAAACACTAAATCCGAACAACAAATGTCTGTATAATACGTTTTGATACAGTAATGACACCAATGGTAAACAAGCCGGGATAAATAATTATAAAATCACATTCTCCCTCGCTCTTACATAAAAAATTGTTTCTGTCAGGAATAAGAAAAGGCGATAAAGTGAAATGAATGGAAAATCATGATGATCATATTATTTTAAACATCTAGAAAATAAATAAACTTTAAATATGTAATTATTTCTCCATTGTCGATGAAAAATTAGAAAGGACCATATTATTAAATTCTACATCGGTTATAAATAAGTATTTCGTCATTTATCTGATAATTATCTATTATTTTAAAATTACTTAAGCGACAAGATTATGGATAGAGATGACTTCTTTGATTATTATTATATATCCCATTATACCCACAAACCACTACGATGACATCAAACCCTGAAATGCTCTAACAAAGTTAATCCGACCTCTAAGGATATAGGGCCGGCACGGCTGGGCAGTGATTTGGCTGGTCGAGGATCCTTTCTTTAGGATGGAGAACGAGCAAAACTTTCCTTCCTCAACAAACTGTTGAGAATCCATTAAGGGCATTAATAACAAATACTAGTCTATATGATAGTTATACAGACTTGGGTATCACCTCGATTTTTGTTCGCTTAGTGGCATGGAACTATTTATCATAAAGACGCAATTTTATAGTAGAAATTGAGCCATCAAACGCTCTCTCATCATTTCCAATAATGATTTTAACAATTTATTAAAATACCTACTATTTTTATTATTATAAATAAATCTTCTACGTCAAAACGTTGGCTAAAATATGTCGAGCATTACTGAGAACTACAAGTCAAAATTTACTGAATAATTAATGAATATAAATGTAGAGATAATGTGGAAACTTATAAAAAGAGTAGTTTGTGTGGTATATATAAAATACTTATAAGTATTTTTTTTCAAAAAATAATATAGTTTAATAAAGATTTTTCCTAGTTCTATTTAAAAATAATATTGTAAGTATAATAAGTTATAGTATAGTATAACCACAACATAATAAGGACCCTACGTCGAATTGGTTTGGAAATACTTCAGCTGGTTCCACGTAGTGGTGGTGCACGGCAAAATTTACCTTTAATGTCGCTTAGTTATACATAGGCGGACGAAGAGATGATACTGGTGGAACTTCGTATTCTGCCTCGACGTCCGGAAGCGGAAATCGTGAAAAAACTTGTGTCTTCTTGGGGTCAAATTAGACTAGGTTTGGTCGACCCCAGTCCGACACTCAACATAGCAAAGTTTCGACTTCAGAGACAACTTTGTTCCGGTACTAATCGACTGCCCTAAAATACCTGAACGGCCAGCGTAAAGAGTATCCCCGGTGCTGTGGTCCGCAAAGCAATGAATGTTGCTAAGTTTACATATGCAGAAGAAACATGGTCGGGGATAGGACACATCCTTGAGAGGCCCCAGCGTTCACGGGTTCAAGGTCGGATCAGGCTCCGTCGATGACTACTTTGATGCTCCGATCGGCCAGAAAACTAGAGATGCAGTTGCATTACTTCTCGGGGAGCCTATAGGCTGGAAGCCTCAAGAGAAGCGCTTTATGCCACACCCGATCGAAGGCGTTCGCTGTACCCAAACTAACCCCTAGCGCTAGCTAAAGGGAGGCCCTTGGACTCAAATGCCTATGTGTGTGTAAGGCATACAAGAAGGTCACCAGGTGAGCGACCGCGACGAAAGTAGAGTTCTCGAAGGAAGGCTAGCCAATTTCTCGCCATATCTGGCAATGTGCTTAGACTTTGCCAATCTCTTGTTTGAAGAACCTGAAGACAGAGTTATGTGTTTTTTTAAGTTTGCTTTTATTGGCATCACGAGATGTAGCCGCTTCCGCTTCAAAGCATTCTCGCTTTCGACGCCAAGCCGCCTTGCAAGAACGCTCAAACCAGGGCGGCTGTGACTTGCCAGTATTTGCTTCAAGGGGTTCATCTCAGGAGTATCTCGGATTTTAACCATAAAATACATCGTTATATTTTGTAATCTTAAACGCTAACTTATTTGTGAATAATAATTTTTATACATTTTTTGACTTCGTGATGTTTTCTAGAGTTCTAGTTTTCCTAGTATGTGGTTTATGCATGATGCATCTCACATATGTAAATCTATACATATAACTTGTGATCTGAATATATAGTTAGTGAGATAAATGTCTTTCTATGCTGAGATTTTACCTAATTATATCTATGATGAATAGCAATAGTTCCTGTTAATACGTATTAAATCGGCACTATGAGAGTCGTTAGTCCATTCCTCTTCATGGGCTTAAGAAAAAGTTAATCGCGACAGTCATATCCCACTACTGCTAAAGGCATTCGTATGAGAATGACATTAACTTTGCAAGCTTTGTCACGTGACCATTTCCATACACATTCCGCATTCGTTTGGCGTTAGTGGGTCAGGCCTGTAGTAAAGTGATTTTGACACCAGCTCCACTTATATGTACAGTCAAACCTAAGTAACAACTGGGTAAGTGACAACTGGATAAGTGAGAAAACTCTATAAGTGAGAGTGGACCAGTCATTTTAAGCTCTCAAAACCTCTATTAGCGAGAAACAGAAACCTCTGTAAGAGAGAGTCGTTTTTCCCTCATGGACCTCCGTAAGTGAGACTGCTACTTCTCTATACCTCTATAAGCGACAGTCGAGCTTTATTTATTTATATTATTTAGGAGGAACTATAGCTACAATATTAAATACAAGCAATATTCGACAAAATTTATGAGTTAGAGAAAAACATTCAAAATACAAAAGCAGACACCCAAACGAAATTGACGGATTTTTTTAAGTGTAAATAAGTTCTAAATAAAATAAAATATATATTTACATATTATATGTTGTGCATATTATGCACAAAATTTTATCATACATATTACATATTTACTACATTCGTACTTGCTGTGACTTGTTATTGCTGCGTACCTCTATAAGAGAGAAACGCTACCCATGTACCTGCATTAAGGAGAAACTTGGGTTAGTGAGAAACCTCTTTAAGCGAGAATGAGATTGTGCTCCCTTGAACTCTCGCTTATCCAGGTTTGACTGTATATAATATTATCGAACACTTATATACATATACTAATCTTTAATTCTTTGATACTGTATAACATGGTTTTCCTAGTCTGTGGATAAATTTTTAAACATTCTAAAATCTTTAAGATGTGTCACGGGGCCTCATAGCCTAGCGGTCTTATTAAGTGGCAGCTAGGTGAGGGGTACCGGGTTCGATTCCCGGTTCGAGGGCAAGTTTTAATTTAATTTAAATTTGTTCTCGGCCTTTGGGAGGGTTGTGCAGTACCGGGCGAGTGCTTAAACCGTACATGGAGGACACGGTCGAATTTCTAAAGACAAAGCACGAATTATAAAAAAATTCTATACTTGACGCTGGCTAACGCACAAATCGTGCCAGAGCCATAAATAAAAAATAAAAAAAAGATGTGTCAGATATTAGTTTGTCATTTGTCAGTTTTCCAGCGGTGTTTATGGCTTAAAGGTCTCGTTACCAGGCCATAAAATAATATAAAAAAAAAAAATGGCTTAAAGGTCTCGTTACCAGGCCATAAAATTATAAAAAAAAAAAAATCCTAATGTCCAGCGGTGTTTAGCTCTATTTGGTCTGTGGTGTAAATAATGTATTAATTATAATAAGACGTAAAGTAAACATCTAAAACAATTTAGTAGATTTGTTAAAAGTAAGCGTTCATGTGTTTTGATTTTTAATAAATATGATACATTACTGTTTATATTAAGTAATCAATGTAAAAGTTTAGTAAATTTTAAGATTTAACTATGTATTTTTTAATTATATAAATTTGTATGTGTTGTTTTATTTCCAGGCGTAGCTTGTGAACTAAGTTTAATTTAGGATGCCCACTCAATATGAAGATGAACGGTCTTGGGAAACATCCAACGCTCAATATGACGTATGTATTAAATGTGAAATGAAAAATGCTAAAAGTTAGAAATACACCAATTAAAGTATTTCTCACTTTTAGCATTTCTTCTTGAACTTAGCTTAAAGCATATAACCACTATATACATATATTGACGTTTATACTACCAAATTGTCTAATTTCAATGTTTTTTAGTATATTGACGTTCACACATGTATACCTATATTTCATTACATTTTAAGGATGACAATGGCGAAGATGTTATTGATAACCCAGAAGAAGTGCTGCAAGAGTGCCTTGAAAAATTTAAAACACCTGATTACATAATGGAACCTGGTATATTTGGCCAACTTAAGAGGTATTTTCAAGCTGGTGGAAACCCTGAACAAGTTATAGAGCAACTGTCTAATAATTATAGTGCTGTTGCCCAGATGGCAAATTTACTAGCAGAGTGGCTGATTCTTGCTGGTAAATTTATATTCTATTTAAAATAATTTAACTTCTACTATTTAATAAAAATTATTAACCAAAGCTGTATAAATGTCTGTGTGGACATATAGTATTCTCTAAGATAACAATTTAATTAGGTGTCACTGTGCATTATTGTGAACAACCTGAATATGACAGATAGCAATTTATTTAGTATTTTATAACAGAAATAGAAAAGGAATTTACTGCTATTCTTGTAAATAATTCTATATCTCTATATTCTACTTACAGAAGTTAAAGTCACTGAAGTTCAAGCAATGGTAGAAAACCATTTGAAAGAAATGATTATTAAAACATTTGATCCCAAAAAAGCAGATACAATATTCACCGAAGAGGGAGAAGTAAGTAATATTAAAACATAATGGTTTACTAAATAAAAAGTAAATTTTCAGTTTAAATTATTATTGGACTCACATTTAACAATATATAATAGTCATCAAATATTATATTCATAATATCTGTTGTTTACAGTTTAATTAAATTATTATCTTGTTTTGTAGAGACTAAAAGTGTGTGTTAATATATCAATGTTCATTTTATTGATCTCAAGCAATTATCAATCTTTTAGACCCCTGCATGGCTTACAGAAATGATAGAACATCCAACATGGAGGTCCCTAATTTACAGATTAGCTGAAGATTACCCAGATTGTCTTATGTTGAATTTCACTATAAAGGTACATTTTAGCAATTATTTTTACCCATACTATATTTATTTGAGAATAAGGAAAGATTAAAACATTCTGATTTCTATTTAAATATTAAAGTGTAAATTGTACACAATAATCCATACAAATCTTCTTATAATTCTTTGTATTAAAATCTTTAATACATTTCAGCTTATATCAGATGCAGGTTTTCAAGGGGAAATAACCAGTATTTCAACTGCTGCTCAACAAATTGAAGTGTTTTCACGAGTTTTAAAATCAGCTATAGTTGGATTTTTGCAAAGTTCAGATGATTGGCAAAATAGTGTTAATGAGTGTGCTGTAAGTATTTGAATAAAACCAATTTTACTTTATCAATATTTGTATATATGAATAATGAATATGTATATATATATTATTTACAAAATTTTAAAAAGTTTTACTATTCAAATAATCTTATGGTATACTATCTGACGGAAATTGAACACAGGCAACCTGGATCAAACATGTTGATTACTCATTTTGGTAAAAAGGATCTTTTTGTTAATTAAATCTTTTCAGAAAATGGTTTGTCATGGTGCTCACACTTATGTATACAGTCAAGTGATTGTTCACATTCTCTCTCAAGAACAGAGGGGAGGATCCATTATGAAGAGACTTAGTCAAGAAATTACAAAATGTGCACAACAAAGGTAAAATTTCAAGACCTTTTGACTTGTTACATAATAAGCAAGCATTGCTTAGTTTATCATAACTGATTACAAAGATGTATGTAGGTTAGAAATAGGTAGATAGAATGTGTGATAATCGCAGCCCACAGGTGACACTGTGAAGGTATTTCTGTTTTTTCAAGTGTGATTATGGAAATTTAAAAACTTTCCTCCACTGGCTATGATCCTTACATATCTTGTATCTTTTTACTCTTAATATATTCACCATGCATGCTTATTGATTAAAGAAACTAACCGGCCCTCTTTCAAGTACCTACTGTACCTCTCTCTCCAATAATTAAGAGGTCTACCAACCTCAATCCCACCATTCACATGTGCCATGCATATCCAACTATTCACATTCTTTAATGAACCATCTCCACATGCCCTCTCGTATCATTTTACCTACATTCTCTTCTTTTGCACAACACTTGCATTTCTCACTATACCCTATTTTATGCCCATATACCCCACACTAATTTCTCATAGTTTTAACTTATAGAGCATTGATTCTTACTTTTGCTAAACACATTATACAAATGTTAATACTACTAATACTATAAATAGTTATAAAACATTCACTACTATACATTAACATACTACACCCTAGACATAACATTTCAATAAAATATGAAATTTTAGGTAAGTATAGCCCTTTTGTTTCTGTTATTTTCTATTTATGACTATATTTTAATATTTAATTGTGTAACAGTGGTCATGATGTTACGCCGATTACGCTAGCGTTGACGGCGGGAGAGTCGTGGCGCGGCGCTCGCACAGCGCTGGCAGCCATGTTATCTCGCGGAGCGCTAAACCCTGCAGATATATCAGTCCTGTTTCGCGCATATAATCAGCCAGAACCACCACCCGTACATTTACTAAGGATACCACAGTTTTTAGGTAAATGGATGCAAAACTATCATGTAATAAAAATGCTACTATTGTAACTATTCTGGATGATATCATTTTGTTATAACCAAAAGTATTATGTAAATGTACTTTATCATATATAGAGGTGAATGAGTAAAAAGCCTGAAGCTTTCCTTTGTTTTAAGTGGAAAAAAACATAGAGGACAGATTTGATGTGTGATCAAACATTTATTTTAACATTTGGATAATTATCATGTGTTGACTATTATAGAACTTCTTGTGGACTCCTTGTATAAGCTGGGAAGTAAGCTAAATCCTGAACATAAGTCAAAGTACACATACCTTTTGGCCTATTCGGCGTCAGTGTGTGAGGGTGTGACCCCCGGAAAACCGATTAAAGATGAATTAAAACCAACATTACAAGCAATTGAGAAAATACATGCAGTCTGTTGCAGTTCCGTTAGTTCAAGTGAACTGATTGCCGAACTACCTTCACTCTATCATTGTATAAGGTAAGGTGTAATTACAAATTATTATTTTTTATTTAATATTCTAGTCCTCGTAATAACAATAGTTGTTATAGTATTTCGATACTAAAATAAGTCTGATTTCAGATTCCCAGTTGTGGGAATGGGAGTACTTGTATGGGTAGAATGTGTGGTCACAGAGCCATCATACTTCAAGTTGTGCACGGAACATTGTCCTGTGCACTTAGCATTATTGGACGAGGTTGCTTCCTGTCACCCATTACTCCATCACAGACTGTTAAAATTATTAATAAAGCTCTTTGAGTCTAAACAAGAAGATCTGGAAATTTTAGTTCAGGTACTAGCTTAGCGCACATATATACTATAGTTGGCTGTATGCTGTATATTGCTGACATTGGCTATTTATCTTCTCACCGGCCTGGCACCTGGACCCGAGGCGGCGCCGGTCGCGTTTCGGGGCTTCGTTCTTCCACTGAGCCGGTGTCGATGCCGGTTTACGCCTGTTTTTGGGTACAGTACTAACACGGAGTTTAGCTCGACGACACGTACGAGGCGTAGGTATAACAATGGCGTCGTCAAGCCGTCGACTGTATTTGTTATTTATTACATCTAAGACGCAAAAACTAACGAAGAGATGTCGAATGTTGGATTCATCCAATATTTAGATGGAACAATTTGGTATATAAAAAAAATTAAAACACATGCAGTTTATCCGGGCCGGCATGGGTGGGAAGCTTGCTAAAATGTATAATAAAAAAAACGAGACAAATTAACGGCTTCCCCAGCACAGGCCAAGATGAGTGGAAAAACGGTCCTTGGATTTTAACATAATTATTGTATCTTGTGCATTCTTTTAGTACGAAAACTTTTGGGGACCTTATTAAACTGTTTAGTTCTGTCAGACTTTAAATGATTATGTGAATTGATTTTATTATATATTTTTATAGCAACTTATTTAATTACCAAAGAAAATCATTAGAAAATTTGGTTACTTATAGAAAAGTAACATTAGCAAACACATTTATCAATAACCAAATCGCTAGCAATAGAAAAGTAATTTATTTATAATATATATATTATATTTATTTCACAGTTGGAGTTGCGGAAAATGCTTTTGGACCGCATGGTAAATTTGTTAAGTAGAGGCTGTGTTGTTCCAGTTTTACTGTATATTAAAAACTGCACAAACCGTGGAGATGTCGACTTATCTTTGATTAGGTATTTTTTGACAGAGGTCAGTATATTTTATTACTATCATAGGCCCAGGTTACATACTATACAAATAAACATTATTAATAATGTAACTCATATTTATTTAATTTTTTTCAAATTTTACAATGGAAGTGCAAGAAATTTAATAGAACAAAATCTTAATTCATTCTTGTGTTTTATGATTTAGGAAATCTTTTTTTTTGCAGGTATTGGATGCAATAGCTCCTCCATTTACTCCTGAATTTGTACAATTGGTATTACCTATGGTAGAAAATGAAGAAATTACAGGTACTATGAGGGCTGAAGGTGAAAATGATCCTGTTTCAGAATTTATTGGTTAGTATTCTTTTGTCATAAATTAATGGCATAAAATATTAAAAACCATTAAGTACCATTTTTTTGTTGTTTCAGTTCACTGCAAGGCACATTACTAAGTAGCAGTATTTAATCATAAATAAAGGAAACTAATTTAATGTTGTTAGCTAATACTTATAAAATATTTTACTCAGTTTTACAAATATTATATTTTTAAATAAAATTCAAATATCTTTTCTTGAACCATTTCTTAGCTTCCTCTAGCTGCTTTCCTCTCATAATACCTTTTTAAAGCCTGATCAAATACTTCTCCAACAGTTCTTTTCTTCCAAATATCAAGTTTAGATTTAATTTCTACTTCAAGTTTTGGTTCAACTTTGCTTTCAGCTTCTTCACCTCTAACTTCAATATCATCAGGTTTTTTTAATTCATTGTCAGTTGTTTTAGAACTAGGAGGTTTTGGCTGTTGTTCATCATCACTAGATTCGTCAATTGAGAAGTCTGAATCTGCATCAATATTCACTTCCGTCTGTTTAGGTTTTTTCTGATTTATTTCATCGTCAGAATCTTCTATCTCACCCTCTGATATATTAGCATCATTTGATGATTTCCTTTGTTTTCTATAGTTCCTCTTCTTAGAAACTGGTGAGCTATCAGATTTATTTTCTTGAAATTTATCTATATAAAATTCAGACTGTTTTTCTTCAGGTTTTTCTTTACTATCATCTTGTGGTCTATCAAAACCTAACTTTTGCTCGTAAAGATGTCGATAAAATCCACCTGATTTATAACAAATTTATGTTAATAAATAAAACTGTTCTTAAAACATTAAGAAAATTAATATTTTCAGAAAAAAATATTTGTGTCTACATTCAAAATGATTACTAGTGATTGAGTTAGTAATTATTTCATTAAATGTATGATGTTGAGACTACAGAATAGCATTTATAAATTGTGAATTATAAAACATACCCAAATCTTGTTGTTGTGTAACATCTCCAATTTTTTCTAAATATTCTTCCCGTTTTTCTTTTTCTTCTTCTAATCGTAGTTCTTCTAGTTTTTTTTTATATGCTGATGTGACAAAGACTTCTTTATCAGCAAATTCTTCACCTTCCTGTTCTCTCTCTTTTTGAATCTTAAAGATATACAATGATGATTACTTAATACTCACTTAATGCTTTTAGTTAGTCATACTTATCAAACAGTCCTTACTTGTCTCTCAATCCTCCGCTCATTTTCTATTTTCCTTTTATTTGCAGTTTTTAACAGGTTTTCAATATATTTAGGATTTTTATTCTCTTTACTCTTAATTACTTTTTTTTCCTTTTGTTTAACCATAGAATCATAAATCTCGTCATATTGGTAAACAGTTGGATCTTCTATTATAGCCTTTTCTTGTACAATTTTGCTCTGAAATTTATATATTTTAGAAAATATTCTTATGATATATTTAACTAACACAAATTCTAACCCAACAGTTTTTTATATTTTCGTCTTAAATAAATGAAAAAATATTTATTCCTACAATAATGGTTAAAGTATGATGTACTTAGCTTCTCTTGCCTTAATATTTATTAACATTTACAAGCAATGTTGTGTGTGTACATAATGAACACAACAGGTGTAGTAGTTGAAAAAACGGGAGTACCTGTCTTATAGCAGCATCACTTGATTTCAATAGAACATGTTTTTTCTTGAATTCATCTTCCGAGTCAGAATCATTCCCAAAAACATTACGTGATGCCTGGAATGTTGGAAGATGTGATTTTTCAGGGATAATTAGGCCATACCTAAAATAAACAAAATAACAATGCAAACCTAGAACCCGCAAAGATTACGTGTTCTTGAATATTACGACAGTATATACTCACTTTTTGTTAGACATTATGAAATAAGGTTAGATAACTTAAATGATGCAAGTACATATATTTTGTTGCTGCAGACTCTAGCTGTGTGTAAATTATCACGTAGAGTTGACTCTAGAGATAATCAGATAAACTGATCAAAAGTAATTTTTTTTTTTATGGCCCACACGGTTTGTGCATTGTGGGCTGTGGCACAGGGTAAAAACAGAGAAACAAATACAAAATTATAACGGTTGGAACGGAATTTAGGTGCGTTTTCCAATTACAGAGCATTATGCGACTCAGTGCCGCACAATGCCGCATAATGCTGAAGCTTAATTGGAACGTGAATTAGTTTTCAAATGCATCAGCAGAGTGCGCTAAGTCAGTGTTGTAAAAAAAAATGTTATGAATTGAGTTAGCAACCTCATTAATGTATAAATAATGTGGTAAACAATAATAATTGGTTCAAAACTTTTTACACTTATTTTAATCATCAAATTATTTCATTAACATTTTTTTATTGAAATAATAGAAAACCTTTAAAGAATATAAGGTTTTAACAAGCTAAATTAACAGTAAAATATTTAGTTTCATGTAAGAAGTTTACATCATTTACGTTTTGAGTAATATTTTTTAATGATTTCTAAAAAAATTATATACTTTTTCAAAACCATTGCAATTTTTTCTAAACTATAATCCTGTAAAATAAATTTGTTTACAGATCCGAATTTTAAAATAAAATTGTATTCATATTTTAAATGTGGAATATAAAAAAAGTAACTATTTATACCTCCATCCATACTAATATTTTTTTTTTAGCAGTTTGAAATAACTTTAATTATTTTCAAAATCTACGATGAAACGAAAGCCTTACAAATTTTTCAACAATAAATAATATTTACTAACGAAAATTGCCAACTTAAAGAAAAATACTGGTCAATTTTCTGTCACTGTGTTGGTATTGTTTGCGAGAAGCACGGAGAGCATTCGTTTTGAGAGTGCTCAATTGTGCGAAGCGTTGCTGTAGTTGGAACACTCAACGTTGAGCATTATGAGGCAAAATGCGCTCTAGTGCTGTAATTGGAAAACGCACATAGATTACAACCTAACGGAATTTACAATTTTACGGTGATATATAAACTTTTAGCAGCCTTTATCTTAACTAACGATATAGACAATATGAACGTGTATATATGTAAATATACTTTCTTACACTCCTCTTTTATCTATATCTATAAGAATTGATCTTTTATTTTATAGATTTTTTTCCATACCTAGTGCGTTTTCCAATTACAGCACTAGAGCGCATTATGGGGCATAATGCTCAACGTTGAGTGTTCCAACTACAGCAACGCTTCGCACAATTGAGCACTCTCAAAACGAATGCTCTCCGTGCTTCTCGCAAACAATACCAACACAGTGACAGAAAATTGACCAGTATTTTTCTTTAAGTTGGCAATTTTCGTTAGTAAATATTATTTATTGTTGAAAAATTTGTAAGGCTTTCGTTTCATCGTAGATTTTGAAAATAATTAAAGTTATTTCAAACTGCTAAAAAAAAAAATATTAGTATGGATGGAGGTATAAATAGTTACTTTTTTTATATTCCACATTTAAAATATGAATATAATTTTATTTTAAAATTCGGATCTGTAAACAAATTTATTTTACAGGATTATACTTTAGAAAAAATTGCAATGGTTTTGAAAAAGTATATAATTTTTTTTAGAAATCATTAAAAAATATTACTCAAAACGTAAATGTTTAACTGTTAATTTAGCTTGTTAAAACCTTATATTCTTTAAAAGTTTTCTATTATTTCAATAAAAAAAAAATGTTAATGAAATAATTTGATGATTAAAATAAGCGTAAAAAGATTTCAACCAATTATTATTGTTTACCACATTATTTATACATTAATGAGGTTGCTTACTCAATTCATAACATTTTTTTTACAACACTGACTTAGCGCACTCTGCTGATGCATTTGAAAACTAATTCACGTTCCAATTAAGCTTCAGCATTATGCGGCATTGTGCGGCACTGAGTCGCATAATGCTCTGTAATTGGAAAACGCACTATCTCGTGTGATTGTGAACCTCAACGTACTGCTTACAATTTAACATATTATTATTCGGTAGATTGTAGTTGTACTGATTATAAACCTTTAACTATGAAAAAACCTTTGAAGAATATAAGGTTTTAATAAGCTAAATTAAAAGTAAAATATTTTGGTTATATTTGATACATAGACAAAAGTTAGTGTCTAAGCAGATTGACAATGTCATCAGTTTATAATAGTATCATGTAAGAAGTTTACATCAAAGAAGTTTACATCAGATTCGGTCTATCGAAGTGAAACCGACAAATTGTGAAACGGAACGCACCTCGCGCGCTGATATCATATTAATATAATATAAGTATTATTAGTATTATTTATATACTAATAGCTATCAGAAATTTAATAGCTATAATAGACAAGAGTGGCTAATGAAAGATAATTGAATTATTTGAAAACTTTCGGATGGCAACACAGAATGTCACAGTCAATTTCTCAATATGGCTGTTGTCAAACATTCGTTTTGGTTAATTTTGTTCTTATTTATTCATTTACGTGTTTAAATATGAGTAAAATAGTGATATCCAAATTCCAAGATAAAAAAGAAGCTGAATTCTAACAAAAACAAGAGTGTTGAATTTCTTAGGTTAGTATGATTTATTGTCTTGATACTTCATGCAATTACTCATTTTTATTTATATTATATATTTTTTCCGAATAGTTAACAGGTATAATAGCCTAAACTTTGATTTATTTGATAGAATATTTCATTTCTTTCGCAGGAAATCTGGAGGATGTAGAAGGAGACGATGAAATAGTGAGAACTATTGGTAAGCTCACCGATTTAGAGAAGAAAGATAGAATAAAATCCCAGAACCAGTACTTTAAAGAAATCGCTTCCATCACTGGTAAGATTTTCAATACTTTTCAAGTAAATTTGAAAAAAAAATTGTGTGGTAATAACGTTTTCATTGTTTTTTCCAGGTGTAAGTGTAATATCAATACACAGAATAAAAAAAGAAGGGGCAACAAATCAAGGTGTCTGGAGTACACCTGAAAAAAACGACCTCATTTGGACAATTTTTACATGGATGCTATTTGCAACAAAGTTAATGAATTTTATATTGTTAGAAAACAAGTTCCAACATTGAGAACACTTTTGCTGGAATTAAGAGAAAGCATAGGATTTACTGGATGTCAGGAAACTCTTCGCCGAATATTATTGGCTATGAATTTAAGAAAAACAAAATGAACGTTCTTTGTTACTTGAGCGCAATGGCATATCTGCCTGGAGACATAACTATTTAAGATCTATATCGTTAAAACGTGTAGAAAGAAAGCCAATAATTAATTTAGATAGCAGTTGGAACAAGTAATTAAAGAGTCATTTGAAAATGTAACATCAGAAGAGTGGAAGAAAATGACTGATCGTGTTGTACATGTGGAAAATAAATATACTGCTCAAAACAATTAGCGGAACAAGATTTTTCTCCTTTCTATTGCTTAAACTAAAATTAGATTTAAATTAACTTGTACGCTATTTTTTACCTTGTTAATTTGTTAATTACTACAATTAATAAAAAAAATCAATTTGTATTTTTTTTATTTAAAAAAAATTAAAATGTTCATTGTAGACGAAAAACAAAGTGACGTCTTTGAATTTTCATTACTTTCTAATCACAGGAAACACATTTTAAGTAGTTTTTTTCAATCTTTTGAGTATTAATAGAAATTGAAGTGAGCCTTTTGAGTATTGTTATTCATTGAAGTGAGTGAGTTTAGGTCATAATGCCAGATCTGACTGAATTGCATGTCTCCCGCTTGCAGAGGGTCGAACTATGCGTTATGTAGGAAATGATCTAGGAGTAGCCCCTTCTGTTATCTACAGACTTTGGAAGCGATACCGTGAGACGGGAGAATACTCACGAAGGCGTGGTCAAGGTCGAAAGAGAAAAACTACACGTTTGCAAGATCGCTACATCGTCAACTGTGCTTTACGTAACCGCACCACAACTGCAAGAGATCTACAAAATACACTAAGGACGGCTACTGGTGTAGAAATTTCCGACCAGACGGTAAGAAATAGGTTGTTGGAAGCCAATTTGAGATCACGCCGACCAGTTCGGGCTGTGCGTCTAACAATTCAACATAGACAAGCTCGCCGACAGTTCGCGCAAAATCACGCTAATTGGCAACTTCGACATTGGAGGCCAGTGCTTTTTACTGACGAATCACGATTCCGTCTAACACGTTGCGATGGTCGTCTCCGTGTTTACAGACGCCCAGGCGAGCGATACAGTGCAGCAGCAGTCCAGGAATATGACAAATTTGGATGTGGCTCTGTGATGGTTTGGGGCGGAGTTAGTTTGGACGAGCGCACAGATCTCGTCGTTGTTCCCGGGCGCTTGTGTGCTCAAACTTACATTGAAAATGTGCTCGAAGATCATGTTTGGCCCGCAACATATGGTATGGGCCCAGATTTTCTTTTAATGCAAGATAATGCCAGGCCGCATACTGCAGCCATCACGTCAGATTACTTACGACAGCAGGAAATCCGTGTAATGGAGTGGCCTTCCATGAGCCCTGACCTAAATCCAATTGAACACATTTGGGACTTGCTTGACAGGCGCATCCGGAAGCGTCCGATTGCACCTCAAACACTGCAGCAGCTCACTGAAGCGTTGATTGAAGAATGGGAGCGAATTCCACAAGAAGATATTCGGAGGATCATACGAAGCATGCCGCGTCGTTGTCAAGCCGTGATTAGGGCTCATGGAGGCCACACACATTACTGAAAGTCACTAAAGACGAATATTCAAACGATATAAGAATATTTCTTTTATGGACCTTCTTTATCACCAATTAGTTTTTCGTCTACAATGCACATTTTAATTTTTTATTTAATAAAAAAAATACAAATTGAAATTTTTTTATTAATTGTAGTAATTAACAAGGTAAAAAATAGCGTACAAGTTAATTTAAATCTAATTTTAGTTTAAGCAATAGAAAGGAGAAAAATCTTGTTCCGCTAATTGTTTTGAGCAGTATATAAAGGGACAGGACTACAGAGGAACATTTAGAAAGTTTCAAAATCAATCTGAGAGACAGTGATAACAGCAATGACTCTGATGAATCTATGCATATTGACTTTTTGGATTCTGATTTTGATTATTCCGAATAAAGTTGTGTTTTATAATAAATATAGTTTTAGTTTTCCATGCAATGCTAGTCATTTTAAGAATCAATAGTAAAAGACTAAATACTTATAGTATTTAATTTCATAGAAATACAGTTACTATCAATGTAAAATATAATAAAATAAAATCAAGTATCAAGTAAGTTTAATCCACAAAATATATTAAACTTTTAGGGATACCATACTAAAAAAAATTGAATTAGCCGCGCTTTTTCGTTATCTTTTTTCATTAGCCAGACTATAATATTATAAAGACGAAAGATTTGTGTGTATGTATGTTTTGTAACTAATTGGCTCAAATTTTCTAACCATTTGCATGCTACATTATCACTGATTAATATAAGCTATTTTAATTTCAAGAAAAAAATTAGGATCCCTACTAAAACTACAATAATGGTACCCAAGGTGTAAAAAAAAATGCCTATAAAATTTCTATCATCGCATACGCTGCGAAAAATTTGGATGATAGAATAAAAAAATGTTACACAATATTAAAGAACATATCAATATCTACAAAAAATTAAAAAAAAAAAAATATCCATCCGAGCGAAGGGCCGCTAGTATAACATAAAGGAGGAAAACCTAAGGAGAATGCCTTGCCAAAAAATACACAATATTTATGGTTCATGCGCGAAGCGCTTTATGCCACACCCAATGGAAGGTTTTCACTATAGCCAAACTAACCGCTAGCGCCTCCAGTTTTGACTCAATTTCCAGCTGAGCGACTACGGAAACGCCGTAATCAATAATTTCCACTATTTTGGAGTACAAGTAGGATGTGCAGATATTTCTCGTATGAATAAAGAGAATTTATAGACTATGAGGCAGACAATCCGGATTATTGACGTTCTACATACACTACTGTTAAGGCATCTTGACTAAGGCCCTAGGATAGCTTATAGAATACAAACCATAGACTACATTATATATAGATTATAGGCACAAACTACAGCATTATACATCTTCATTCTTCAATAAATAAAAATATTTAATAGCCTAAAAAAAGACAAGTTTTATAGGAAATATTTCAATAACATAAATGGGATTTCGTAATAAAAACCCGAAATCCGTTCTAGAATATTATGTATACTTATTTTCCATGAAGAAATTAAGAAAAGAAAAACATGGCAGAAAAATAAGAAAAGTAAGCTTTATTTTGGTTTTATCAGAACAGCTTCCAGCCTCACCACCTGAACGGTGAAGTGCACTATTAAAACTGCACATTGGTAATCGCAGTATTATTATTGCTGTCTAACTTGACAATTACCTACTTGGTTAACTAGTTTGTATTTAATTACAGAAAAACTTAATAACTGAAGCTACTATATCCTGGTTAAAATTGAATTCAAAGAAAAAGCAAATTATAACAACAAGATTTCAAAGTCAACAACTTAAGTTAAGGAAAAACATTGCAGAAAAGCTTAGAACTGTGGTGCCAGTTTCTAAGAAAATATTTAGACAGGCTGAGGAAAATAATTCAATGTAAGTTAAACCTGTAAAGTATGATAACATGTACAAATATATGGTAAATTAGATCTAAAAGTCACTTTTTATTTATAATCAGTTCCAAGATGGCCAGTCATTTGCATTTATTATTTAAAAAAAATAATGTTTCATAATATATTGTGATTATTTTATTTGGTTAACTACAAATTAACTATATATATTAAAGTTTCAAAATTATAAAACTTGTTACCTACAGTTGTAGGTGACTACAGGCATTTAATTCATAATGTAGCAATTAACTTATTGTTATTAAATTGAATCACTGAGCTTTTAACAACTAGATGTTATGTTTGGCTACCAATTTGATATCACTACAGCGTTTAATGAATTAGAATAGATATGGTGCATATGCTAGTTGTCCAGAGGACTTGAGACAAAATCATTTGGCATTAGTTTATTACGCCTGTTGATAATGCAGCCAATTTTGTTATTAATTATGAATAGAATTTATATAATTCAATTAAATAATTATTTTGCAGATCAAATTTATTGAATTTCTCTAATGATGATATTTTAAAACATACTGGTAATGAGTGTGAAGATTTAACCAAATGCATTAATAGCATAACATCAAATTCTTTGTAAGTATTATATTTACACATTACATTACTATTATATTTATATCAATAAGTATGTTCATAAACTTAATGAAAAGTTTAATTTTATTAATAAACTTGCTTTTTATTTTAGACAACCACCTTTGTATGAGCCTGAAAATCAAGAAAATGTCTTAATTCAACAACTTCCAGCTTTAATGCTTGAACCAACTCCACCTGCCTTTAGGTAACATTTAGCCTCTTGATTATTATAATAATATTATGCTATATAATTAATATTCATGAGCAATTTCAACAGAAATTTTTAATCATCAAATTCTTAGTTTTGTTTTTATTTTAGGACAAATAAAGACTTTTATAATCTACTGAATGGAAGTACTGAAAATATAATACCATGGGATGCACTTTCAAGGGGGGTAAAAGGCCAGTATGAAAGGGCTGCCACAAGAATAAGAAGAAATTATATTCAATCTTACTCAAGCTTCTTAGAAACTCTTACCCCAATTGAACTTTTTAATCATTATAAGCATGTGACTGATGTTTAATAAAAAGTTTTAATTATTTCTACTATTTATTAAAACAAAACCACTATATATAAACAATATTATACTGGTGATAAATAAAATAATACTTGTTACATATAAACAAACAATATTTATTACAATAATGAGAAGGGTCTTATGAATATTAATAGCCTATAATTCTAAGGTGTAAATTTTTATTGAATAAATCAATTTTTATTGACCACAAAGTAGGCCTATGGCCATACCAGCTGCAAATGAAGCTAAGAAGACATGGGACTCAGTGGCACGGTATTGATCATCACCAACAAAATTATTGTACCAGTGTTTAGCCTTTTTCTCTCTTTTTTTTAATAGTTCTTCAGCTTTATCCATCTTTCGATCAACAAATCGTTCAACCTGAAATAAAAATTATATATTCCTAGCTAATACAATTCAAACACTTAATGATTATAGGTAAACTATAGTTATTGATCTAGTTTGCACTGTGACCTGGTTTGTAAGTTTTGAGTTCTGTTTGAAAGCATAATTAAATTACAATTGAAGTCGAAACTCCGCTACATGGAGTCTCGGACTGGGGTAGATTAAAACTAGTCCAATTAAAGCCAAAGAAGACACCAGTTTGCGTGCTCGTTTTCCGCTAAAAAAGCACACTTTGTCGCTACTCCTCTCTTCAAAGACACTCTCCTTAAATACTCAGCTAGCATCGGAATACTGGGCGTTGACATATCGAAAACGTTCAGTTTCGCGGTCATTTGTAAGGAATCCTGAGTTAGCCTCTAAGAAGCTTGGTGTGCTCAGCGAGGCGAGACGGTACTTCACTTAGGCCACTCCTTGCAACTTTATAAAGCGCAAATTCGGCCCACATGGAGTAATGTTTTCACCTCTGGGCGGGAGCTCCCCACTACCAGCTCCTTCCAGTTGACCATATTCAACGAAGAGAATTCGAATTGTCCACTACCAGTCACTTTCCGAGCGGCATGATCCCTTGGCGTTGCGTAAAGATGTGGGGTCTATCTGCATCTTCTACCGCATTTACCATGGAGTGTTGAAAGGAGTTGCTCGCACTAATAGAACCTGCAGCTGAGTTTCATCATCGGACGTCAAGGCAGAATACTAAATTCTATCTGCATCACTTTGCTGTGATACAACTGAGTGTTTGATTGCCGCGCATCACCACTATCTGGAACCAGCTGCCCACCGATGTATTACCGACCTTTTCGAATTAGGGTCCTTCAAGAAAAGGCTGACGACTCATTGGTCTAGTGGTTAGTACCCCTGACTGCGAATCCATGGGTCCCGGGTTCGATCCCCGGCTGAGACGAACATCGATGTGATGAGCATTTGGTGTTGTGCTTAGGTCTTGGGTGTTTAAATATGTATTTATATGTCTATCTATCTATAATATGTATGTATATCCGTTGCCTAGTACCCATAACACAAGCTTCACCAGCTTAGCATAGGACTAGGTCAATTGGTGTGATTTGTCTAAAAAAAAAAAAATAGGCTGGCAATACTCTTACGAACATTATGGAAAAGTGAGTGTCCAGCCTTGCGATTCTGTAACTCACTTTCCGCTCACAGCGGTTTTCGCACTCAAATCAGTCATGAAGCAGTCATTTTACGATTTGGCATTCTGATAAACAATAAACTACAACCTCCTTCCGCTTGTCAAGACGTAATGTGAAATTGCTTAACAGAATACCATGAGATTCGTAAAATTAAGTGAGTGAAGAAGGTAGTGTTGTTAGTGCGAGGTGAACTCACGGATTAACAGAATCGCACGTCAGATCACTTGACATCAGGTGAGCCTCCAGCCCAATGTTTTTATTTTAAAAATTAAGTCATTTTTATGTTGATTATATAAAATATTATATGCACCATACCCTCTTCAATATGTTAAAAAGTATAACAAAATGAATATTTTAACAGAGTACTCTTCTTCATCAAATGGAGATTTGACTATGATAAAAAGGACAGCTCAGAATTGGTATTATTTAACCTTAAGACCAATATATTTTATAAAAATGGAATAGTACATCTACAATTGATAAAAAAATGTATGCTTGACTGCATCCAAATATAATATATCTTAACTCACATTATTAAAGCAAAAAATCATGAAGATGCAATTCCGAAAAAGAAACCTCCTGCAAAGCCTGCTGAATAATATGAATTAGCTTTGACAAATAAAAATACCTGTAACAAAAAGGTTTTGTGTTCTTCAAATTATAAATTTTAAAAAAAAGATGCAGTCAAGCACTTAGTGTTTAAATCAGTACTCACTTTTTCAAACCAATCTGGTGATTTTCCTGTAGCCTCTTTTTCAATTTTGTCTGTAATTTTGTCAACTTTCTTGTTTATTTTATCCCAGTTTATGTCAACATAGCCCTTTTGACTAGCAATGTGCAATAGGATTACACCACCTCCAAGGCCTACAGCAGCTAGCTTTCCTATTTTCATAGAAATAAACCCTGTTATCCTGCAAACATCTCGAATTTACATTTGTGGTGATCAAGTGTTGATTCAATGACTAATCAATGATATTACTTACCACCCTGACGCAGTTCCTAAAATTAGCTGCTTTGTTGCAGATGTTTTTCCAATATCAGTAATAGCCTTTTCAATGAAATTTTTTGCGTCATCGACAATTTTCTTGGCTTCTTCCGAGGTGTCCTCATTTTTGGGTTTAGCCATTTTTCATGAAATAAATACGTCTAAAGGTATAATAATTATCTTAGATTAAATTCCGATTCGTAGTTGACCAGACTCTATACAAGTTACACTTCTAGTTCTGGCCAAAGATTAAATCTGTCTGCTGTCAGTTGTCACTGATGTCTGACATCGCTGCCAGTCGCCTCTATATATATTATACCGCACGCCATAGATAAATAAAAAAATTACTGAGAATTACTGTGAACAATACGATAGTTTTTTTTAATATTTAAATTTATAATTGTGATCTTTATAAAATGTGTATGCTTTTAAATAATAAGTTAAAACTTAAATGTTCTTATGTATCCAATTATATAAGGCAAACTACGTGTAGCAGCAGGCACTGCCTACCTAAAAACAGTAAATTAGAAATAGAAACCAGTCAATTATAAAGTCACCACCGTCATCAGTAACTCAATTTAATCCAAAAGCCAAAAATTTACTGGCAAGAGATTCAAAACCACTACTGTTCATGCCCATTACTACACGTAAAAGAGTGCGTATTCTCGCAAATCAGCGCGCATTCGTGCGGCTTCATGAGAACTTCGGATTGGACATAATTTTGGCATACAGACCGCCTTATTCTTGAAATTTATAACTTAATTAACAGAAAATCAATACCGTCTTCACCATAAGGGCACACGGGGCCGTTCCCAGGACCCATTCTCAGGGGGCCCCGAAGGACCGACAATTTCTCTCACACATTAATTCTCAAAACATTTTTGTCGGGCACATTACACTTTTTTTTTACAAATCAGTAATCTTATCAGAAGGTATTTACAAGGCATATACTACGCCATCATATCGATGACTGCGCCTATTCCTACTTTACTAATTAATAATATTTCTACGAGTAAGTACATCATCTAGCGATCTCTCACGCAATCAAACAAATATATTTAAATGGTGGTTGCATAAAAGGAAAAAAAAATTAAACCTCAAAAAGAAATAGGAACGGAAAAACTTCCAAAGCTCACTTCATTTTTTACGGTTCAAGAAACAACTAAGCCAAGACAAATGTAACTCTGAATGTCACCAGGAAAAAGAGGTTACGTGTGACGAAAATGGCAAACACACATTAGATGCTGAACCATCGACTTAAAGCTAATGTGAATAAATAACTGCAAGCTTAGAGACTGTATCTGTGTCTCCTGACCCTGGGACTTACTGTGACGACATTTTACCGGAAGAAGTTCCTGAATTTTGTATTCGAAAAGGGCCAGTTTTTCCAAAATATAAATAGTGACTTCAACGAAATTTCTTCAAGTTTTCCAGATTCAAATAGTCAAAAAAAACTAGATAGTTGACTAAAAACATTTTTATTCGTAAATTGACGAATGATGATGAGTCTTTAGAAAGAAATTGGCTCATTACTTCACCAGCAAAGAAATCTGTGTATGTATATTTACATTATTATGTATGTTATTGCTGCCGTCTATTTGATACCACTACTGGTGCTGCCTGCTGGACATAATTTAAGCTCTCCTAATGGATATAAAGATTGGAATCATATAAGTAACTTATTGATAGAGCATGAGAACAAGTTGCAGCTCAGGGAATTTATGATGAATTCTGTTGCAAGAATGAAATCTACTGGACGAATTGATACTGAGTTTCTGTCCCAATATAATACAGAAATTAACTATAAGAAGAATGTGCTTAGGAGGATTGTTGCAGTAGTGAAAGTTTCGTGTAGATGCTTTCATCTCCATAATTGACACATTAAATACACTTTTAAAAAAACGTTCGGCAGCATACCAAGAAATTGATAGTCGATTTAGTTTTCTTTGTCAGTTAACAACAATTAGCATGAATACATTAATGCAGATGAGCTCAAAACAGAATGTTTTCATTTAAGCCAATATTTAAAAAACATAGTAATCAGCGGATTTAAATATCTCAACCTTACATAAAATCAGATAAATTGGAAGAAACTTATCCACACATAGAAATAGCTACAAGAATATTCCTTTCCCTAATGGTTACCAATTGTAGTGGACAGCGGTCATTTTCGCAGCTTAAGAGAATAAAAAATAAATTGCGAACAACAATGTTCGAAGAACGACTGAGTAATTTGTCAATTATGTGCAAAGAAAGTGCATAAAAAATGGACTTTAAGTATATAATAGAATATTTTCCTCAACAGAAAGCCCGAAAAAACCGTTATCGTAATCGTAACCAAAATTCAGCACCATTCTAAAAATGCCGCATCTATTCAGTTTGAGAACACTAACATTCGACGCTTGAGCAATGGCTTAAAAGCGTCGCACAGGCGGCATTCGCTATCCTCGTCTGACAAATGATGTTACGCGTTAACTCTCTTTCACTCTACCCTAAATATTTATCATCTTTAACAGCAGGTTAAATTTCCTTTTTAAGGGCCTCATAGCCTAGCGGTCTTATTAAGTGGCAGCTAGGTGAGGGGTACCGGGTTCGATTCCCGGTTCGAGGGCAAGTTTTAATTTAATTTAAATTTGTTCTCGGCTTTTGGGAGGGTTGTGCGGTACCAGGCGAGTGCCTAAACCGTACATGGAGGACACGGTCGAATTTCTAATGCAAGCATGAATTATAAAAATCTTATACTTGACGCTGGCTAATGCACAATTCACAAACCGTGCCAGAGCCATAAAGGAAAAAAAAACAGCAGGTTACCCTTATTTGCGGCCAGATTTAACTAAGCACCCATATACGATAATTAATAGTAAAAAAAATTGCTTCAATTTGATATATAATTAATAAATGTATGTTATGAACTTCATAAATATGAACGTACAAACGTATCGAAATCGTACCTGTTTACACCTGGGTACCTAAAAAGTGCGGCCAGATGATCAACGGCACCCGTGATTTTTTAAAATCTTTATGTAAATTGCCGTAATGTAAATTGCCGATATTTTATTTAAATAATAAGAGAACGAAATGTTTACCCAAAAATCAATTCAAAATAATTTCATTAAAAATACTAGCGGCCAAATTTTGATAGGCACCTTGGTAGATATACTTTCTCCTAATAATTATAAATATACATAAAAAATTGGTTTTTAGCAAATAACAGATGAGCGCACTAATCCTGCAGGCTTAGGACAAAATTTTTGTGTGTAAAAGTTACTTATGACATGAGACCGTCTTATAAATCGATGAACGCTGGCTGCACGTACTAAAAATTATGATTCATTGTCACGTTCTGCCTGACCCGAGCGTAACTGAGCGCACTCGCTTGCACGCTTGGCTCAGGCGGAACGTGACACACGATAGAGACACGACCTAAGCGTTTGACTTGTGACGCATTTATCTTAAGTTGTAAATAGCACATGTTACTTGTAATTAATCTGTATAATTTAAGCAAAAAATTGAATTATCGAGTACAAATATATGTTAATTTATAGTAATAATAATTAATTTTGTTAATTTTCAATTAACTCCTTTTTATTATACAAAATAATGATAATTTAGTGATAACAATTTCATTCATAATTATAATATAATTTATTAATTATAATATATCATAATTAAAAATAATTTGTTTTTGTGTTTATGCTTAATTTAAAAGTTCAAATTTTTTAAAACTTTAATCAAAATACCTACAGTCACAGTACTAGTCATGTTCACAATTTGTGAACATGACTAGTCAACATTTAAGTTTTACATTAAAGTAAGGGGAGGTAATTTGTTCCCCGTAGCAAGCGAAATAAATTATACAATAGATATACTTCAAACTTGAATCTCAAGTTGTTTTGTTTGTTTAGATATATTTTGTTTAGTAAAAATATTCAATATTGCTCGGCAATCGGGATATAATTCAAATTTAGTTTTTAGAATACCCCTTCTCAATCTCTTTGCAATTACTTGTTCTTTAGACATAATTTCTAAAGCTTGTTGTTCTGTGAGACGAGGCAACTCATAGGCTGGAATTTTCAGATCACACCTATGTACCCCATCAACCTGAAAAAGGATACTTTAAAACTTATTTTATGTTTGTTGATAATATTTTTTTATTAGAATAATTTTTCTTATGTAGATTTCAAGTTAAAAAGGTCTCATGTTACTTACTTTACATTGGAAAGATAATGGAAAGTCGCTGTCAACAATGGGCCACTTCTGTTTTAAAACATGTGCATTCCACGAAAATTGCGTTTTAGATCCAATTCTATTGGGAGCAGACATTAGGCCAGCCCAAAGTTCTGAACAAAAGTGTGGTGTTACTGGGGAAAGCATTATTATTAAGCTAGCCAGTGCTAACTCAAATTCTTTGCTTTTTGCTATAACCTCAGCTGGGACATTGTTCTATAACATAAAAAATGTGTTTTATTGATATTTTGGGTCATAGTCTTCGTATATTGAAGGATTTATCAATCCCATGTCACTTAATATGTAAGATTGTCAATCTTAATAATCAATTATATAATTATTTTCACTCTATCAGTTTTTCAAACATTAATATAATAGTATAAATATAATTTAGACCATTAGTATATAGTGGAATTAACTGCTTGTTGATTTTGATTTCACATTCAAAAGTTCTTCCTCCCTGAAAAATAATACTAAATAAATAATTTAACTTACCCTTAAAGTATTTGTTAAGCTTTGTAATTGAGAGATTCCAACACTTAATTTCTGTGTGTATTTAAAATGGTATGTTGTTGTTGCAATAAAAAAATTTCTTGACTCTCGCAATTTTCCCTCAATTTCCTGAAATTTCTCGGGTTGCAGGTTACTGATTTTAAATAAATCACGATTATTTCGATGAGTCAGAAATTCCCGCAATGTTATCCAAAGCCGGTGTTGCCAATTTAAAACTCCTGGTAATGCTAGAAAAATCACAATTTTATTTAGTATGTATAGAACAAGAACTGCAAGGCTTAATTGTCAAATTTGAAAATTCACTCTTACTTGCATCAGACCAATGTCTTGTTGTACCAGGTGGTACATCAGCTATGACCAGAAGTCGTGTTGTATCACATCCATATGTTGTTAATAATCTCATGGGATTTTCACCATTATGTTTAGATTTACTCATTTTTTCCCATTGTACTGAAATAGCTTCACCTGAACCTTTTTCTATATATGTTTTACCAACTTTTTCTACATTTTCTTTCGGAATATACTTTCCTGACGACCTGACTTTATATGATTGACCCATCACCATGCCTTGGACTAGCAGTTTTTTAAAGGGTTCTTTTGAAGGTGTCCATCCAAGGAAGTTCAGAAAATAACTCATGAATCTAGCGTAATATAAATGCAGTACTGCATGTTCTTTGCCACCAATATAGCAGTGAACAGGCAATTTACCAATCAATTTCTGTTTTTCAAATGGTACATTCTCATTTGATGAGTCTAAAAATCGATAGTAATACCATGATGAATCAACAAATGTGTCCATGGTGTCTGTTTCTCTATGTGCATTTCCATTACACTTTGGGCATCGACAATTGACCCAAGCATTAAATTTAGACAATGTGAATATATTCTTTACATTAGAGCAATTTTGGGGTAACTTTACTGGTAGTTGTTCATATGGAACTGGTACAGTACCACATTTACTACAATGTATAATAGGTATTGGTGTCCCCCAATATCTTTGTCTTGATATTAACCAGTCTTTCAGTTTAGAACTGACAAAATAACCACCACATTTTTTACTTTTTGCTATCTCTATTGCTTTTATATTTTCATAGTCAATATTTATACTTTTTACTTGTTCTAAAGGAATATTTAGCGCTTCTGATATTTTTCTATCTTCAGAATCAATCGCTGGACAAGCTAAATATACTTCCTTTTCCTCTGGATAAAGTATACTATCACAGACATAAATTTTAATTTCTTTATTTGTTATTGGATTGTAGCACAGTAAATTTTCTTTTTCAACCAAAGTAAGGTCTTGTAAAATAACATGATTTTTTTTTACTGTAATATACTGAGCATGTAAGTATTTGTATGGATCTGAACACCATATGTCTAAAGGTCTCTTTTCTCCATTTACTTCAACCTGAAAAGTGACTACTGCACCATTACACTCACCAATCCAGTGTTTTTGCAAATTTATAATATCATTCCAGTTTTCTAAATAATTTTTATCTAGACCATTGTATAAATCTTGAGCATACTGTGTTGTTTTAATAAACCATTGGGTAAGAATCTTTTTTTCCACCTTTGCACCAGATCTCCAAGAACAGCCATTTTCATCAACTTGTTCATCTGCTAAAACAGTCTTGTCCAGTGGATCCCAATTAACATTTGCCTGGAAAGTTCAATTAAAATATTTACATAACAAGCAGAGAATTAACTTAAATAATAGACATTGACTTTAAAATTATATATTTGTTGTTAACATAGACAAATCTAATTTCATACCAGTATAAGGCAAATTTCAGTCAATTTAAGTTTTATAATATAATGCTGCACAGCTCATACCCTTATTAACTTAATATTCAGGTTTATTAGCTGTTATAATAAAATACAACATTTACCTTACTGCGATATGCTAAACCATTCTCAAACAACTTTAAGAATATATATTGAGTCCATTTATAATAACTTGGATCACATGTTGAAATTTCTTTACTCCAGTCAAAGTTATACCCAAGATCAATCAATTGTTTTTTCATGGAATCTATGTTAGACTTTGTCCAAACTTCAGATGGAATACCACGTTCAATAGCTGCATTTTCTGCAGGAAGGCCAAATGCATCCCATCCAATAGGATGAATAACATTATATCCATTCAGTTTATAAAATCTTGCTATGGTGTCTGATATAGAATACACTCTTACATGACCCATATGTAAATTTCCAGAGGGGTAAGGGAACATGGGAAGAATGTACATATTATTTTCCAACTCCTTTTCTTCATTTTTTAAGACTATATCGGACCAGTGACTTTCGATCTTCAATTTTATTTCAGAAGAAATATTACTATCCTGAATAATAAAATATATTATAAATAGTTGACAACTTCTTAATTCAAGCAATGATTATTTGTAACTAACCCAAAGGCCGAGGCTGCTTCTGTTTCTGACGAAACCTTTAAAATGAAACCCATGCGTGTTACAAAGTCGAATATAATTCTTCAACATAATTTAAACGTTTATGCTTTCTACCAGATTTTAGAGTTAATTTGGTACATAATTTTATTGTCAATAGATTTATTTGCATAAGTTTCTTTCCAATTTAAGCTGTCTGATAAGAATACATCAATACATCGATGGCAGTATATCTATAAATTATAATATGTATATAATATTATAGTTTTCTACAATCTACATAATTCACATGCGTTTATGTGCAATTTGATTTTGATATTATTTTACTTCTCTTTCTGACGTCTGTGCCGTCAGTGTCAAATGTCAATATAAAGATAAGAGATGAACTTACATGCAATAATATGGCACATCTAAGTAGAGGTACAATAAAAGGGATTTGCAAGAAGGAAAACTATAAACAAAACAACATGAATTAGCTTTAAAAATATGATAACATTACTACTGAATATACTAATAAAGTAAGTAAAGGATACAAAATACTAAATGAAAATCTAAAAAGAAAACAGTTAAGGTTATGGTAAGATTTAGAATCGAGACTTCCACATGTTAAAATTCAATACCTTTCTTTAACGACTACCAAAGTCACACTTAGCTTAATATACCCTTAACAACTTTAGTGAAATGGAAAATTATTATTTAAAGCGCTAAAAGATGATGATAAATTTAGGTAGTTGGCGGGTACTTAACAGTACATAGTTATACCCTGAATTAAAAAAATGCATTTAAGAATAAGAACTAAATAACAAAAACTGATTAATAAGTTAAATAGCAAGTAAGTAGTTAGGTTTCTGCTAAATTGAATGGGACGAACGGGCAGTTCCCGGCTTGAAAAGGTTCCGGTTCCGGTTAATGCCAGCTATCTCAATATAGTATTCAGGCCAAAGAAATATTAAGAACACTCTTCCAGGACTATAAATGACGTTTGCTCTAAAGCAAGAAACTACTGAATCCAGAAAAAATATCAGCAGTGCAATACACATATAATTAATAAATATAAACAAGAGATGATAGTCGGGGACAGACTGGTCAAGGATTTTCTAAGAAAACGTTAATTATATACAAATAATATATGTATGTAAGTACATCATTTTCCAAATAGTCTAATGTCTTTATAACGACATTCGTTATAACAAGTTTAGAACTCTCTATAACGTAAAAAAATATTAAATATTATGTTTGGTTTAACAGAAAACCCATACAATAACTCGCTCTTTATAACGCAACAGGTATTCTCTATTACGAAGAAATATTTTCATATTTAGAGAAAATAATAGACCAACATTTTCATATTGCTATTTTAGCGCGTTTATGCGTATGAACTATGAAATAAGTCAGGGGTCTAGCCAAGATGGCTTAACAGTAGTGTATGTAGAAAGTCGAAAACTAAATTTGTATGAAAATGACAGCTCGTGTCGACAGTCGGTAGCTTAGGCCCTAAAGGCGTGAGTCGGGATACAATAAGCGACGCCATGACAGTGCTACGAAAAGACACACATTAACGCTGACGCTATTCGGTAGCCAACGGCCTATTAATGTTTCGGCAGTGTAGAAAAAACGGCGTTTCTCCGCCATGTTTTAGCGTTATCTCAAAAGCTGCTGTTTGCAATAATTCAGTACAACTATTGCCATCTTTAATGGCTACCGTTTTAAAAACATGTCATATTTTGGACGTTTTTACGAAATGGTTTTAATAATTAATTTGTTATCTGTCTTTTTTTTAACGTTCTCGTGTAATTATAATAATTTAATAAATTTAAACTAGAGTTAATATTTTTAAGTTAAGAGTTTTAGTTTTTCTATGAATCAATGCGAGGATAACATAATAGACACAGATAAATATGAAAATATCAAGAAAATCAGCAAATTAGTAGAGGTAAATCCTAGTTATATTGGATATCTTTTATTGATATTTATATTGCATGTAAGTTCATGAAATTGTTCTTTAATTTGACAAATACGTATACCATTTAATATTGCATATATTATGTAATCACAAAGTAAAATGATTGTACATTTTATTTGTATATTTCAGATGAGAAAGCAGTCACTAATGAACATAATTAGAAGTTCTAAATATATTTTATTGTAATTATAATAGAAGCTGATAATGATATAATATTGATTTAAATTAATCAAATAAAGTGGATTTATACTTTATGAACTTTGGAAATATAAAATCTAGTGAGCAATACTAAATAATGGTAAGCAGATATTTTCTTTAATTATTTACTAAGTCAATATACTAGAGAAGTTATTATAATATTGTTAATGAATGAGAAGTTTGAATTCAAGTCCCTTGGGAGTTACTGACATTGTTTGGTTATTAAAAACTTTAATTGACAATAAGCAGCAAAGTGACAAATTAAGTATATTTTTAAGTTTAGAATTAAGTAAAGAGTAAATTAAAGTTACCTATTGAACAAACCTTGGACCGATCTTAGTTTAGTTTGTCAGTTTTCTATTTGATCAAAGTACTAACTAAAATATTTTCTTTTCAGAAAAAGAGAAGCTAATAAGACAACTAAAAATATTAAAAAAAAACACAAATGGACAAGTTTTATTAAAGTCTTATCTTTTAATTAATTTAAGTGTTATATTATGTACCAGAAAATGGGGAATGAAGCATTTTATGAATAATGTAAAAAATAAGACAAGTGGAGTATGAAATAATGGTTGGTTAAGTAACATTACCTCATGAACAGGAAACAGTAACTGAAACTATGTTCTTCCACATTTAATCTTAATAAATTCAGCAGTTTGAATGTTAATGAGATATTATTATAAACAAACTGGATTTGTAGATTTTGGGAAGAATTATATCTTTAAAATAACTATTATTATTTACAATTGTTGTGTTAAGGAAACAATCACTGTTTTTTTAATCGCCCAGGATGTATTCATAGTAACTGTAGGTATCATAGTAATTTTATGAAATCATCACAACATCTAACGTTAGGTTTTATGAATTGAACAATTTTTTGTATATAACAGCACACAAATAAGATATTGACTTTGCTGCAAATTAACACTTACATTTATTAGTTAATTATCTACATATATAAATATGAATAATTGAATACATCTACATTAGGTAGTAATGCATTGAATTTGGTGCACCTGTGTGTGTTCAGTAGTAATGTCTGTATTGTTTAACAAGTTGTTATATATGCTTATTTTTCTATGTAGACTGCATTATGTTAAGGAAGATATTTGGTGCCTTATTTTAATAAAAAATAACCATAACTGGAACATTTTTATTTTGCTATTTGTTTAATATTTCTAACTATTAGTAGGTACGGGTCATTCATATATGCATTATCTGTATATTCTTGTAAAAGAAACTTATATTGTTAACCACTTTAATGGTTTTTCCTACTAAAGAAGACATAGGTAAATTACCAAAAATAAAACTGACAAATACATAACATGCAATGTTTATTCATTTCTTACTTAAACAGATTTGGCATTTACATATTAACTAGTAGCAAATCACTGATATAACCAAAACTTAATTGACATAAATATTAACTTAAAATCAGCATCAAACTTAAATTTATATCTAAGATGTTGGAGCATCAATATGGAATCAAAGGTTGAGTAAGGCTTATAATTTCATACCAGACTAAGTTTCTATTTTATAATTTTTATTAATCCCTCTTTTCATTTCATTGAGTACTTGCTGCTTTTCAATTCTCACTTTCTAAAAGTATACATTTATTATAAACAATCAACCTTTATGACTCTAACTTAAACTAAAATTGTTTGTTGGACATAAACAGAGATAATTCCAACTAGTAGCAAATCACTAATAAAATCTACACTTATATATAAATCTGCTTTCAAATTGACATTAAAAATGTTCAAGCACAAACACCAAACCTAATTAAAGCTTAAATCAAACTCTAATTTCAGTGTTCACACTAGTCTACGTTTTTTTCTATTATTTTTTAATTTCTTGGACTATCCTTCTATTCCTTATCAACTTCTAGTCAACCTTATTTTCACTCTTTATTTATCAATCCACAGTACTATATCTATTGTTTCTTCTAAGCGGTAACAAAATATGTTGCTTCTTCATTTTGCAGATTAGTTGTGAGGTCAAATCCTAAAAATATCAAAGTATGAGTACTACTAATTATTATATATCGCGATTATGCAATTTCAAAATATTGTATTTATTTGTAGCCTTAAATTTCTGAGAAAACATGAAACAAACCATAAGTAATTTAAACATGCAATTAAAATTCATATATTCACTTTACACCTTCAGTAAATTCCACTTAAATCGAAAATTGTTCCGACCTTACTGACATTCTAATGTCCCTTTTGCAGCTTCCAATAATTGGAATTTGCAATTATTGCAAATTAACAATAATATTGTAGTTTTAACTTTTATTTGTTTATAAAAGTGACATTAGGAATACATTTAATCCAGAGACAATATGACGGAATAAGGTGCTACGAACAGCAGCTCGCATCTACGCTGTCGACTTTGCGGTAATGTATCGACATGCCTCTTGGCTACGAACGAAGCGTTTTCGACAGTACAATTACGCAAAAGCGGTAGTGTATGTAGAATACTTTTCGACACCAATATGGCTAGACCCCCAGGTGTGACCCACTAACACCAAAGTGCGTTTTCCAATTACAGCACTAGAGCGCATTATGCGGCATAATGCTCAACGTTGAGTGTTCCAACTACAGCAACGCTTCGCACAATTGAGCACTCTCAAAACGAATGCTCTCGCGTGCTTCTCGCAAACAATACCAACACAGTGACAGAAAATTGACCAGTATTTTTCTTTAAGTTGGCATTTATTGAAATTTTCGTTAGTAAATATTATTTATTGTTGAAAAATTTTGGGGGCCTTCTTTCCCCCCAAAATTAAAAAAAAAATAAAAATTTTTTTAAACCCAAAAAAAAAAAAAAAATTTAGGGGGGGGGGTTTAAAAAAATTTTTTTTTTTTTCCCCCCAATAAAAAAAAAAAAAAATTTTTTTTTTATATATAAAAATTTAAAAAAAATATTTTTTTTTAAAATATTTTAGAAAAAAAAAAAATTTTTTTGAAAAAAAAAAAAATTTTTTTTAAAAAAAAAAAAAAAAAAAAAAAAAAAAAAAAAAAAAAATTTATATATAAAAAAAAAAAAATTAATTTTTTTTTTTTTTTTTTAAAATATAAAATTTTTATAATATATTTTTTTTTTAAAAAAAAAAAAAAAAAAAAAAATTTAAAAAATTAAAAAAAAAAAAAAAAAAATAAAAAAATATTAAATTTTTTTCCCCCCCCTTTTCCTTAAATTTTTTTTTGACCAGTATTTTTTTTTATGTTGGCATTTTTTGAAATATTTTTTGGAAAAAAAAATTTTTTTTTTAAAAAATTAAAAGGTTCCCCTCCCCCCCTGGATTTAAAAAAAAAAAAAAAAAAAATACCAAACCCAAAAAAAAAAAAAAAAAAGAAGAGAGAGAGGGATATAAAAAAATTTTTTTTTTCCCCCCCAAAAAAAAAATTAAAAAAAAATTTTTAAAAAAAAAAAATTTATAAAAAAAAAATTATTATAATATAATATAATAAAAAAAATAATAATATAAAAAAAAAAATAAAAAATATAAAAAAAAAAAAAAAAAAAAAAAAAAAAAAAAAAAAAAATACTTCAAAAAAAAAAAAAAAAATAAAATTTTTTTTATTTTTTTTTAAAATAAAATTTTTTAATATTTTTTTTTTTTTTTAAAAAAAAAAAAAAAAAAAAAATAATAAAAATATAAAAAAAAAAAAAAAATAATTTAAAAAAAAAATATTTTTCCTCTCCCTTTTTATTATTTATTTTTTTTGTGCTAACTCAATTCATAACATTTTTTTTACAACACTGACTTAGCGCACTCTGCTGATGCATTTGAAAACTAATTCACGTTCCAATTAAGCTTCAGCATTATGCGGCATTGTTCGGCACTGAGTCGCATAATGCTCTGTAATTGGAAAACGCACAAAATAATTTATGGAAATTGTCATGAGAATAACGTTAGCTCACGCTTTGACTTTTTGTATGAGTCGAAAAGTCTGTTACTTTAGAGTTTAGTTAGACGTCTGTGAGTTATACTCTCCAAAAGACTATATAGTTACTTCATGTGATACTCTATGGTTATTGAAATTTGAAACTTGAAAGGTATCTATACAAAGAAAATGAAACTATTAATTTAAATAATAGTACATTAAGATTTTAGAAATATTTAAATTGAACTCAAATGGAATTAGTTGTATCGGTAAATTATATTTAATACACACTTTGTTTCGAAAATGCGAATTTAATGACTGAGTTTTAGCGGAACGATCGTGGAGTTACAATAATAAGCAAAATGCTAAGATAATCGATGTAAATATTTATAGAGAAAGCTAGAATGCAAGCAAAGAAACGTTACATTCTTCTTACACTATCTATAATAGTAATATTGTATTGCTGTATTGACGGATTTCGTATGAAGACTGAAAGTTTTCAAAAGAACTATCGCACTGACCTGCCCTCCTTTGCAACTATAGAAGAACTTTACAAAGCTCCGTCGCCTCTTAAACGCAATCCAGATTCAAAAAGAAAGTCATGTCGAATGGAATCCTGTTTTAATTATGCTAATTGTGGAAGTGATCCCAAAGTTTATGTATATCCAACCGATGGTCCTGTTAGTGCCACTTATCGAAAAGTCCTGTCAGTAATTCGCGAATCTAGATATGCAACGCGTGATCCATCTGAGGCATGTTTATTTGTACCAGCAGTGGACACACTGGATGCAGACCCTTTATCCTCGGAACATGTGGCAGATGTTGCATCCCGACTATCACGATTACCACACTGGAAAAATGGACGTAATCACTTAATTTTTAATCTATATGCTGGTACTTGGCCAGATTATTCAGAAGGATCTTTGGGATTTGATCCAGGCGAAGCTATCTTGGCTCGAGCCAGTGTCTCAGAAGCACTATTTAGAGAGGGATTTGATATATCATTACCACTGTTTCATAAGGAGCATCCTGAGAGAGGTGGTACACCTCCTGCTGCGACTGCAAATCCTTTTCCTGCACCACGGCGACATTTACTTGCGTTTAAAGGTAAACGCTATGTACATGGCATTGGCAGTGAGACTAGAAATTCATTATGGCATCTTCATGATGGTAATAATCTTATCTTGGTTACAACATGTAGACATGGAAAATCTTGGAAAGATCTTAGAGATGAAAGGTGTGATGAAGACAATAAAGAGTATGATAAGTAAGTGTATCCACAACATTAATAATTTAATAAATAATATTAAATATGTAGTTTTTTATATAGTTCTTTTTTTTCATATTAATTTACAAAGTTAAATCATTATTTCATTTCTTATAGATTTGATTATGAACAACTATTGGCTAATTCCACATTTTGCCTTGTGGCTAGAGGACGACGTCTTGGTTCATATAGATTTTTGGAAGCATTGGCAGCTGGTTGTGTACCTGTTCTTCTTAGTAATGGATGGAGGCTACCATTTGATGAACGAATTGACTGGAGGCGTGCAGTTATTTGGGCTGACGAACGTCTTTTACTACAGGTTATATTTGTATAAAAAAATTTAAACTTAAACTCTCATACAGTTAAAAAAACCTTAATCCTAAAATGTTATGACAAAATATTGACCATTAGAGACCATTTGAATATAGGTGAGGTATACCAGTGATGTCAATTTTTTAAAGTGACCAGAAATAAATATTTATGTATGTAATTTGTAATTGCTTCCAATAAAAACATTTTTTTAGGTACCTGAGTTAGTTAGATCTGTACCACCAGAGCGTGTGCTTGCTTTAAGACAACAGACCCAGCTGTTATGGGAACAATATTTTTCTTCAATTGAAAAAATTGTTTTTACAGCTATTGAGGTATTATTATTTTATTATATATATATAGTCAGTTGACACAAGAATACCATACACATAAGCATAACATGTTATGCAAATATACCATGTTAAGATTTTGACAAGTACATATTATAAATCCTGCAGTGTTGGCCTAGTGGCTTCAGTGTGCGACTCTCATACCTGATTTCGTAGGTTCGATCCCCGGCTGTGCAACAATGGACTTTCTTTTTATGTGCGCATTTAACATTTGCTTGAATGGTGAAGGAAAACATCGTGAGGAAACCGACATGTCTTAGACCCAAAAAGTCGACGGCGTGTGTCAGGCACTGGAGGCTGATCACCTACTTGCCTAATAGATTAAAAAATGATCATGAAACAGATTCAAATCCGAGGCCAAGACATAAAGAGGTTTTGGCGCCACTGATTTATTTATTATTTTTTAAATTTATTTGTTAATTACTTAGGTGCTTTTTCTTATTTATATTTTTACCATTAATAATTCTTGATTGGCATACTCTTTAATGATTTAAATAAATTTCTAGAGACTTTTAAGAACAAGAAATAATTATTTTAATTGGTAGACAAATTATTGTAGATTTCGATAGGCACAACAATAATTTATCTTTCCCAGATTTACGAATTATACACATATTCATTTATTAAATACTTTATTACAAAACCATTGAGTTTAATAATAATTTTATGTATGAATCATATCATCTTTTAAAGATTATATTGGAAAGGATAATGGCACATCGAACATCCCGACATCGAGAAGCATTAATATGGAATACATCTCCGGGAGCATTGGGAACATTAGCAAATTATGGTGATTCCCGGGCTCATCTGCCTTTGGGTGTGACTGCTCCCGAGCCTCCTCTTGCCCCATCTTCATCCCCGATGCCTCTTCCAGCCCCATCAGTGCCTTTAATTGCTCCACCATCCACTCCCGGTAAAACATTTACAGCTCTCTTGTATGTTCAAGCTACATCACCTGCCTTACATAAATTACTCGCGAATATTGCTAGTAGTGAATTCTGTGAGAAGGTAATTTATCACACTTCTATTAACATATTTACCTAATTCTAAAATTTCTATGTACAAGTAAAAAGTCTTCGTAGGTTGTGTTGGTGTGGGATAGTGAGCGTGCAGCGCCTTCTTTGAAATCATTATTGCGAATGGCCGGCGATGTACGAGATCCTTTACCTGTCACAGTAGTTGACGCTACCACACACTATCCAGGGTGAGAAAACTACCAATGTATGTTAATGCTTTAATAATTAATTATGATAAATGAAATAAGCGTGACACTGGTATAATAATACAGGGATGTGATAAGCATTGAGCAAAAATTGCAAATTGTTAAGAAATAGAGTTTCACAACATTTTTATAACCAAACTTTTAACATTACTTGTTCAAAATAAATGTATCATGTCGAACAAAATTTTTAACAAATTTAGTACCAGACTAACTTTTCTATAGACTTTACAATATGGCATAGCAAACCTTTTAACAGGTAAATGTCGAATTGCCTGGAAAATGGTAATGCGTCCATAGATGGGGTGATAACGCTCGCTCAGAGTTTTAACTCGAGTGCCTAGCCACTAGGGTTTATTTTACAATCAGTTTTGTTATCGATATATTATATCCTGTTTAAGAATTTACATTCAAAAATGAAGTTTCATTTCGCTGATTGAGTGTACCGATTGTTTATTTCTATTTTTTATATTATTAACAGTAGCGTTGATGTTTCGTAATAACAGCTAATAAGAGACAAGTGTTGTAGTAGGCAAGTGAAAGTATAATATAGTAAATAATGCAGGATAAGAAAGTCTGACGATTTATGTATTCCAAGGTTCTTAGGGAATTACCTAACATCAGATATAGATGTCATATCTCTATGTTTATGTACTGTAACATGGGAAATCTTTATTTGGCAGTCATTCATGTAATTTCACTTAAAACTTTTGTTTTTGTAATGACGATGACCAAATAATTTATTTTATGTAATCTTTTTGTACACTCAAAATAAATATTTATATAATTATTTATTACATCAAGAAGGAATACAAAAAATATTTTTTTAAAGACCTTGTGTTTTTATATTAATAAAGATAAATTTAAAGGGAAGGAGTATCAGCTAGGTGGCAGCCACTATGGGCGATTCCAACAGCTGCTGTGTTTTCACTGGACGGTGACGCGCCGCTTTTGGCCGAAGAATTGGATTTTGCCTTTCGAGTATGGAAACAATTCCCTGAACGTATTGTTGGTTACCCGGCGAGAAATCACTTTTGGGACGAATCTAAGGTACTTGTAATATTTCCATTTGTTTCCTTAAAACGGGTTTAACTAATTTATTTGTATTTTGTATAATATAAAACAGCAAACGATTTTACGGGCCAGTTACGGCAATCCATGGATTTTAGTAGGTGCATTGCCTTTGAAGGAGCAGTAGTCTTTTTTTAAGATTTGGAAGTCGCATCCTCTGGGGAAGACCTCCGCTGGGTTCCTATTCCACAGCTCCCTAGTTCGCAAAGATATACCTAGTGAAGCGGACTGTGGAAGATTACGACAGTCCGACAGTTAGATGACGTCTTGAAATTATATCGCCTCCGGTGATGAAACGAGGCTGTAGGTATCAATCTCAACAATTCTTCTTCTAAAATGTCCATAAGTACACTTTGTGGAATACGCGCTGAGACGTAATGTCCCTGCGTAGAGAGAAGGAATCAACTCAATCAGTAATACATTGGAGATTTACAATACGTCAATCCCTGAATTTGGTCAAAAGGAAGAAGCTGGTATTTGCGGGACACATACCACACGTGGACGCACTTGACCCTTGTAGAACTACATCTTTGTACCCAAGCGAAATACTGTAAGCAGTCATAAGCCAATGTCTAATGTCAGTAAAATGCTTGAGAATGTTATAATAATATTTACACAAGTGTATGGTTTATAAAATACTTTCACATTTGGAACAGGGCGCATGGGGTTACAGCAGTAAATGGGGTGGTTCCTACTCTATGGTGCTACCAGGGGCAGCACTGGTGCATCGGGCGGCATTAGCCCAATTCGCAGAAGCCCCGCCCGCCTTAAGACTGGCCGTGCGGCGCGCTCACAACTGCGAAGACATCCTCCTTAATTGTCTCGTTGCCCATCTGACGCGCCGTCCGCCCCTAAAGCTCGCCCAACGCAGGCGGTATAAGACATCTCATCATCGATACAAGTACGTACTTTATTCCATAATTCAATTACGATTAAACTACTCAAATACTAGTTAATTTCGTTGTAAATCTTACTGTTAGCTAATAGACATGCAGAGACCACATTTTTAGTGACTTGAATTGATTATTGAATGATCTGTATTATTTAATTTAAGTAAGTATATTAAATTAGAGATTTTGGGACAAGTTTACAGTCGCTGTCTTTATGTGTAAACAAATGTATTTTTTAAAACTATTCTAGGACTTCTTGGACCGATCCCGAACATTTCGTCCAGCGACAGTCGTGTTTGAACACTTTCGCCGCCGCCTGGGGTTATATGCCGCTTGTTCGTTCCGTATTAAGACTGGATCCTATACTTTTCAAAGACCCAGTCTCCACCCTTAGAAAGAAGTATAGAAAAATGGAATTAGTCACGTCATAGTCAATGTTTCATGTACACCCCTATGCCAGTCATAGAAATTAAAATTGTTCGAAAGTAAATAATATTTTTAATCTCAGACCTATTTTTATAATATACGTAGTTGGTCCCAAAGTTCTGTCACTAGCACATTATTTCTACATTTCGAGCAGGATTTTATAAAAAAATTATTGCATTCTATTTTGGAATGTTTGATTATTGTTTTAAAACAAAAAACAATAACTTTCCGTAATTTTTCACGATGGAGTGGACATTGAAAGTAAACCGAATAGTTGTTATTGCGTTGCACCGCTGTGGACACTCGCCGAGTACCATTTTCAAGTTGCTCAAAAATTTGAATATAACGCTTAGGTTTGTGTACGGTACTATTGATAGGTACCTTGAAGTCTCCAGTGTTTAGGACAAGAAAAGAACTGGCTGGCCACGCTCCGCAAGAACACCAGCAGTAATCAAAGCTATCAAGGCGCGGATAGTAAGAAATCCTGTCCGAAAACAGAAGTTGATGGATTTGCAGATGGGTGTCAGTAGGAAAACAGTAAAAAAGTTTTAAATTAAGATCTTGGTCTACGAGCATACAAAAAAAGAGTGGGCACTTACTTAATGCTCGTCTAAAAGCAATAAGGCTTAAGAGATCGCGGGTGTTGTTTAAGCGGTACGCGAAAAACCGACACCGTGATATCCTCTTTACGGACGAAAAATTTTTCGATATTGAAGAGAAGTACAATTAACAGAATTATACAGTGTACGCTAGGAGTTCTGAAGAAGCTGAAAATAAAGTTCCAAGGGTGCAACATGGACATCATCCATCATCAGTAATGGTTTGGTTGGGAGTGTCCTATTACGGGCTAACTGAGGTTAATTTTTCGAAAAGGGGGTCAAAACCAGTGCTACAGTGTACCAAGAGACGGTTTTGTATCGCCTTGTCAAAGACATGTCCAGCACCCTATTTGCGGGACATCACTTCGTGTTCCAGCAGGACTCTGCGTCTGCATACAAAGCCAAGACCACTAAAGCCTGGTTTGAGCGTCAAAACATCGTCTTAATTAGACATGAGGATTGGCCTTCCTCCAGTGCGGACCTTAATCCTTTGGACCAGAAATTATGACAGGGCTTAGAGAGGAAGGTCTGTGGTAAACCTCATGAAAATTTGGAGAATCTGAAGTCATCTTTAAAAAAACCAGTGACTGAAATCGACACGAATATGGTGCGTGCTGCGATAGACGACTGGCCGCGACGCTTAAGGGCCTGTATTAAAAATGAGGGAGGTTATTTCGAATATTTTTATGCTTTTTTTATTCCTTAATTAATGTACTAAAAATTGATATATCACTCATTACAAACTGATCAGTACTTTTGTTTTTATCATTATTTCCATTTATGACAGAACTTTGGGACCGACTACGTACACTTAGATTTTTATGTTTTTATTTGTTTTTTAATTTATTAACTATAAACCCTTATTCCCTCCTACACTAAATACTTAACTAACGCTTTGTTATGGTTAAATCAATATAGTTATTCCGTTTGAAATCGCATAAACCAGTCAGTTCTGCATCCGTTAATTTATTGAAAGTAGGTTCTTCTGTCGTAAGTGGAATTAATTAAATTTTTGTTTCACTGGGATTCGTACGCATATAGATACCCCCAGGATATTCGCCCTGTGCTGAACATGGTGGCTGTCAACATAGATATATGAAATGAAATGAAATAGTTTATTCTTGCAAGTAGGACTATATAAATCACTTTTACAATGTCATCCTAAACTAGATGAAGTCGACATTTCCTAACTGACTGCCCTGAGAAGAAATGTCGAAACAAACTCGGGGGTCTTAGTCTCTTTTATAGTCCAGATAATACAATAATAAATTGGTGTAAACAAATGCAGAGTATTTACTGGACTGGTCTTTGGAAGAAAGAACCAGATCGATCTGAGCAAGCCTGTGCCAGCAGACGGCAAGCATGCCCCGAATAGCTCATGCAGCTCAACCATTTTTGAGGGAGCTGCACAACCCGGTACACAGCAATACCGCCAGTGGCACCATAAAAATATGTGGGGCAACAACTCACTCAGATCGCCAGCCCAATATCGTAATCTTTTATAAAAGACATAAATAAACTTACCAATAATTGGTTACAAAGTCTGGTATTTTTGACTAATAAACATATTATTTACTAATTACAAAATTAAAAGAACGGATGACAGGGGTCATCTAAGTGCATTGATTTGGTAAACGTTGCATAAGTAGAACGCGGCTGACATAACATGATAACACTTCGCAACACAAGTGGCCTTGGCCCGAATGGTGTGTACCGGCGGGAAATAACGCGCCAACGAACGGCGACCACAAGCAATATTGCAGCGAACGAAACACTGCCTAACACCTTCATTCGAGTGGACACGTTCAGTTAATTTACACCAGTATTATACGAAAATCTTGAACCTCCACAAATTTGTTATTACGAACCTTGATTTGACCGAACTAAATTCTTATAATTTCAAAAGATGTTGTTCTGTGATTAGTGTTAAGCCGTATATAACATTGAAACCTTAAAACCAAATGGAAATTTTGAAATAAATGACGGTGAGTTTGTGGGCTATATATAATAATTGTTAAATTAGTGGTTTCAAATCAAGATTGTTCTTTAATTTTTGTAGACAATTACTTAATTATATTATTAATTTTCTAATAACAACTTAGGAAAATATGAAATACTAAGTTAGGTGATTATTTAATAAATAAATGACTTAATGCCCAGATAATCAAAGAATGTATAATTGATTATTCATTATAAGTACCTGCATGTAGGTTTATTCCGCAACAGTTGGGTGAATGGTAAGTAACAACCTTCAGTTTATTTTAACGACCTCAAAAATACGCAAAGCAATTTACTGACATATAATATTACGAATAAGGTATAAAAATTACATTATTCAAATATTTTTTTTATATTTAAAATTAAAGTCTATGTTACAACAATGGTTGTTCGTTATCAATTGTGAACATTTGGCCCCCATACCACAACGGCTAATCGATCTACAATTATTGTTGACTTGTGTACTGACCAGTGACCATATCTGTTAGGTTGCTTTTCTTGTTGAAAAGACTTCAACGCATACAAAATGCTACGCAACTGCGTAGAGTTGTTTCGCGTGCTCTAAATTTAATGAAAAACTTTTTGCCTTTATATACTATTTAGATAACGGCTTCAAGGTATAGGAAAAAGTAAAATTATTAATCGTATTATTAAAAATATTCTGACATTATTTCCGTCTTATTCATAAACATGCTTATAGAATCAAATAACTTTTAAGTATTATGTGAGTAATTTTGTACATATACAAACCTGAAAAAATCTTTATTTAGCTAAGTATAGCCTTGTAGTACATATATATGACTATTCTCGTTATTAGTATGCTACTTACTTCGCCTACCTGCACGAGAGTTATATGTTTTATCAATTAATCCATGCTTATAATACAAAAAAAAAAATTACTTATTTGTATCAGTGTTAACATATTTTTCTTATGTTGCGGGAAATGATCCAGTAAACTCAAGATGGTGTTACGAAGTATCGATTACATCTTAGCCAGTATCCTGATTGTGGCAGTTATCGCAACTCTAGCTAATGCACAACCGGTTAGTACGGTCATGATATAATCACTGAACTTACCTAATACCTATGTCTCCAGCTATCCTGTTGAAGTTATTAAATTTCCTTCTATCTTATATAAACATGAAATTATATTTATTATTTACAATATTTTAATACAAAATATTCATATAGTAGTTTAGGTTTTGCAGTAAATTAACATATTTCTCGGTTTCTCTAGGCTAGACAAAGAACACATATATATATTGATGAATTATACATATTATATGGCAGGTGCGTTTTTTTTCAGATAATAAATTTTCTTATTCTTAACACTGAGACAGTACCTGCTACAAATAACTATAGTTTGTGATAAAATTGTAAATTTTACATGGTTTACTCGTAACTGGTTTTCTCGTAAATTTCTTTCAGCCTACGGCAGACGAGTCCATTGGACTAGACCGAATTCAGCGGCAATCTTCTATAAGAGCAGGAAAAAGTGTGGCAATAAAACCAAAATGGGGATTTTTCGGAACAATATTTAATGTTATTTTGGAAGTAAGTAAACAATCATTTACATTTACGGCACTAGTACATAAAATATCATACGATTCAACCAACCGAAGCTTAAGCCGAAGCCACAAATCTTAGAACAATTAGGATAAGATGTCTTATCCTTAAACAATAAGAACATGTGAGGTAAGCAGCACATTTGTGTTTTCTAAGCAAACACAGTTATGTACATTCTTAAGAACTGAACTCAGCGACCAAATGACATCGTGACCGTAGTCATAGCCCAACGAATCACTAATATAATAAAATAAAGGTTTTTTTTGTTTTAGAGAGTGTTTTTGTGATCATTTAGTGTCGATTACATTAAATATAGAGGTAGTATTTTGTGATCGAATTTACGTAAAACAATAATTTATAACTACTGATTATAAATTTTTTTTTCAGCAAATTAATGACACAAAAAGTGCTTACAACCAGATTTCCGAACTAGTGAATAATCAATTTGTAGATGATAAGGTAAAGTAATAATTATAACATTTATATAATGTTAAATATTCCTCATTATTAGTACTCGTAATGCAAGGCCTTATATCTTAGGTAAATTCTTTATTTCCTAATATTTAGATAATTGCGGATTATTGTGATCTATTAGCAAGGTTAATCCGGCATTTATGCTTCTTCAGGTAAAGCTGTTTATATTTCTTTGTCTTATTAATAACTACATAACCATATTTGTACTTTTTTCACTTTATTCTAGAGGTCAGCAGACGAGGGCGTTTCCGCCCTCAACTTTGAATATTTTATATACTATATCATTAAAACAAAAAAACTACTTTCATTGATTGATTATCAATAAAAGTAATTTTGGACACCTGCGGAAATCCAAGCATTATAATAGTAGTTGGTCCGGTACTAAGTTAATACATATAAATAGGCTTGAAATTACCCATAGATTATACTTTAAGTTAAACAATATTTTTATATGTTATAACTTAATTGTAATGTGGTCATAATGTAGAATCTCTGTCAAGTTAAAATTGATTATTAATAAATGCTTCTGACACTGTTTGCGAACAATATGGATCAAAGTCTGACTTTAGAATTCCGACTCTCGCGTCTACTTTATCGCCACAATAAAATATTTATTTTTACAAAATATTGCTGTTTTCATGTATTTATTTCAATTAATTTTATTATTTTATACTACTTTATGAAATAGTTCTAATAAATAGTATTAATATAATCAATAGGCAAATTGAGTAGTAGAAATTTTCGTTTTTTAGGCTGTAATACCACCTCCAGATAAATCTAATAATGGAACTACCCCATCCCCTAAAATAACCAGGAAGGAATTTTTAAATATACTTGATCGAAACTTAAAAGGTTTGGCGCGTCTGAGGAATTTAGAATGGCGCGAAGCTAAAAAGGTAACTATTATATTTTATTTATTTCAAGTGTATCGTTTTAAAAGTTTCCGCCGATATCAAGATAAAAGATACATGTGAAAGGGAAAAAATGGTCAATTCCGTTTGAGGGTGAAACTTTTACTTAATAGAAAAATTAACTTTAAACCGCTTGCTTACATTAAAACCTTTGACTATTATATATATATCTTTTAAAATATTTTTAGGACTCATGGAATAATATACAAGGTTATTGGAACGAACTATTTGGAGATAAGAAAAAAAGAATTAGAAGAACCACCAGTCACTAGATGTTGCCTAATATGAAATTCATATTTATATAAACAATGTAAATAAACTTAGTATTTAGTTGTTCCTGTATTTTCTTATAAAACATCCTTAGTACCTACACATACATCGCATTTACAAAACAATGCAACATTCAATAAGTAATAAGGCTTCGTGTACTTGTTGGACTATTTATCCAGATTTGAAACAATATTTTATGCTATGTATACATGATTTACATAATGGTGAATATTTTTTCATAAAAATAACTTTCTGCCAAAAAATCGATGTTTTTTTATAGGTAACTAGTGGACCCCACAGACGTTGTCCTGCATGATATTTAAAGCGATTAGGATATTAAGCAAAGTATAAAGGAACCGACTGCAGTGCCATCTGCCGGGCTGATTTGTGAATCTAAACCATTCCCAGATCCCCTTGAACACACACATAAAATCTCATCAAAATCGGTCCAGTCGTTTGAGAGAAGTTCAGTGACATACACACTCACAGAACCATTATATATATAAAGATTTAATTTTGAATGTGAAACAAGTTCGATATTTGTAATGCAAAAGCGGGCTATAAGAGCGATCTGTGGATTGTTCCCATGGGAGTCAGTCCGAAGGAAGTTTAAAGAATTACATATTTTGGCTTTGGCAAGTACATTTATGTGAATATTTTGTATGAGCGGAAAAATATAGATATCTTTAAAGAGAATAGTAGCTTCCATAATTATAGTACTCGTAATAAAGACAAAACTAGCGCACCAACAAGAAGGCTGCATAAATCGAGTAATTCTTTCCAAGGCAATTTGTATACGTTTTTTCAACAAAATCCCTAGTGAGATACAAATGTTGTCAATAAATAAATTTAAATGGTACATTAAAGTAAAACTGGTTGCTAAGGCCTATTATAATATAAATGAATATTTAACGATCCTAGTGCTTGGATATGAATTGTTCCATTATAAATAGTCAACGCGACTGAATCTCTCGGCTGCATTTCCAGACTCTTGGGCGATGGTCAACATCCACGACTGTTTCAATGTAAAGTGGGAACAAACCGTGATCCATGTGGTATCAAATAATTTCAGTATAAGTAGTATTTTATTATTATTTTCTTATGTAGCCAAGTTCACATTTCAAGGATCGTCATGCTCGCTTAAATGTCATTGCTTTTGGCGGCGTCCATGCGTCTCTCTCCCTAAAATATGGCGAGGAGGCCGATGGCTGGCCATGCGTCATACTCGTGAACGGGTGCTACTTGTGGTGACTGGTCGGACTTGAATTCGACTATGTGTTTGCGTGTTGTTCCCACGTGAATATAAGTGCGTGCTCCTATTTCGCCATGCCTACTGCTGATAGAGGACAAGTCTTTGTTTTTAATTTATGTTTTTATTATTTATTACTTAAGATGTCATGTGGAACATGGTGTAATGGTTGCAGCTCCTTACAAACGTTGTGTAAAAAAAAGCATGGCGATTAAAAAGAGTGGCGGAGAGTTTATTGCCGTCTCTTCTCTCCTACGCCCTTGATTTGAGAACTCGCACTAAATGTAAAGTTAGAAGCATTTCATATACATTTCTTTTTTTGACGTTCATAAGGGTACAATGTGTTACCTATATGATTAAATGATTTTTTACTTTACATTACTTTAAGAAATCATAATTACCGAGAAATATTAAGACATTTTAAACTCGGACACGCTAAAAAATTAAGCTTTCTACTTATGGAGGATTCTGATTCGCATCGAAAATTATAGAGTTGAAAGGAAGTTTTGGGGCTTGAGCGGAGGGAACAAAAATGTTTATCGAGTTTAGTAGGACACCCTTGGGGACCTATATTCTTTTCGTCGGAGGCTGCAGATTCTGTCGCTGACTATGTCCATTTTCTGCGGGGCCCACCGGTGGAAAGTCACAGCCCTGGTTTCAACGTTCTTGCAAGGCGACCTCGCGTCGAAACTGAGAATGGTTTAAAGCATGGGTGGAAGTGGCGTCATCTTATAAAGTTTAATTTTTTATTATTTTCCGTTTAAATGATTAATTAAGTTTATCGTTATTAATCGCTGGGGTAAAGTCAGAGCACATTGCCATATTTGGCGAGAAATTGGCCTCCACCGCGAAGATGAAGGCTCCAAGTCGATTTTGGATGACCAAGGGTGATCACCACCGACCTTTTCGCCATGTGATTCTTCGATGCCAGAAATCATATTCTGGCAACGTGTTGTCCGCAAAGCACTATCTTCCTTGGACATTCATAAGTCGAGCGGGCTCAATGGTATCCCCCCAATTGTGCTGCGTATTTGTGCTCCTGAGTTGGCTCCGGTCCTAAGTCGCCGTTTCCGGTACCTGTACTCGCTTGACACTGTTCCGAAGTGGTGGAAGACCGCTTCGATTGATCCGATCCCTAAAAAGACGATCGCTCTGATCCGTCCAACTATTGCCCAGCCTCCTTGTTCTGCAAAATAATGGAATCCATTATTAATGGCCCGCTCCTGAAGTATCTAGAGGGCCACTACTGATTAGCGATTCTCAGTACGGTTTTCGTCGTGGTCATTCAGCCGGTGACACATAGAGGGCAGAGGCAATTGAGTTCTTAGCGCTTCCCGCTGGAGGTTAGTTTGGATATAGCGAAAGCCTTCGATCGGAATCGAGATCGCTTTTCTCGAAGCTTCCTGCCTACGACTTCCCGCGAAATAATGTGACTGGATCTCCAGCTTTCTGGCCGATCGGAGCTACGTAGACTGGGGACTGGGGTAGACTAAATCTAGTCCAATTTAACCCCAAGAATACACAAGTTGCGCGTTTTCTTTTTAAAATCACTTAACTAAATTTAGTTTAGAAGGTCTCCATCAGAATCGACACAACCTTTAATATTTATAGAGTAATTAATTTAATTATTAACGCAGGAATAAAATGCAGCCGACAGTAAAACAATTTCTTAAAAATATGATGTTTTATTTGGGTATTCATTTTAAAAGAACATTTTATATTAGTTGAATTGTATTAGGTTTGTTAAGGTACAATATAATCTCATCATATAATTATAAATAGAATACTATAGACTTGTTATAATATATATTGTTGTTTTAGTTCAGGGGCTGAACTTATGATGGCTTGACTTACATTTGTGCTATTAATTATAGTCTAGAGTGGCCTCTCTATTCCGGCTATAATTATATTGTAGTCTGTACTCTGTAGATCTGCGTAGTAATCTGTTATCTGTGGATAAGCGTTTGCGTTCTCGTGGCGTTCCGCGTTAGAGTGCAAAAAAACACAAAGTGAAATAATCTTCATATTCAAGTAAAATTTTGTGAGGATTATCTTCTAATCTAAAAGTGTAAGTAAAATAATATATTTTGTAACATGTTTCGCATGCTATCTCTCGAACAATTTACCTTTAGATTAATTGTCAGAACTCCTGCCTTTCAACTCGTCGCCATTTTTGCCGGTGTGGTATCTTCGTGGTAGTTCTATTATTCTAATTATTAATCAACTGTTCTGAGTTGTGACAATATCATTTTCAATACTAAAGCTGTACTGAATATTCATAGATGTCATCTCGCGGTCGGGGTTATGGAGGAAGAGGAAGCTATGGCGGTCGCGGTGGAGGTTACAGAGGCCCTTACCGTGGAAGCAATCATCGTGGTGGCTATGAGAGCCGTGGCGGACGTGGTGGTGGAGGATATTCGTCCTATAATAACGAATCCCGCTACAATTCAAATAGCAGTAATCGGTATTCATCAGGTCGCGATAGAATAGATGAATCTTATAAGAAGCCTTACAGATCGGTATGTTTAAAGTTTTTAATCATCTATAGATGTGTCTTTAGAGATTGCTATCAATATTCCTGTGACCTTTAATCAGCCTGATTTAGAGGAGCATTAGCGAGTCCAATATGTACGCATAATTTTTTTTATACCTATAAATATGATTGTATTTTAGGATTCTACAAGCTATTCTAATCGTGACTATGTGAGTCGCTCAGGATCTCCTGAACGAAAGAGAATGAGAGTTGAGGTTAGTAGATAAGGAAGTGAAGAAAAACTTTATATGATGGAACTTATTTGACATAATATGTAGTGCTGTTCTTGTTGAATGTTAACACAAGTAGTTTGTGAAAATTAGTAACATTATTAGAAACAAAGAATTTTCATAGAAATATACTACAGTTGATATTTCAGACAATGGATATTAAAAGAAAAGGAGAATGCGGATGAAAATAAGCTTTTTAGAAAAATTCTATTTGTTTATTAACTTGGAAACTTACTTATAAAGCAATGTATTGATAATATAAGGGAGATCTAGCCAATTCAAATCCATATCAAGTACCTACCTACTATAGGAGAATCCTTAATATAATTAGAAATGAAATAATGGTATTAATTGAGAAGTTTTTATGAGAAAACTTGTTGTCATCTGAGCCTCATTAAGTACTTTTGTGCTATATGTTGTTGTTTATTCTTTTCCAACCTATTCTTACATTGGAATGACAACATATACCATGATGCGGTTAAATGACATATGGCATAACCGTTCACACCTAAACACTATTGATAATTTGAATCCTAAGAATTTGACAAAAAAAAACATTTCCACTGTTCTGTTTTTACTCAGCTAAAATTATGAGTTTATACCAGCAAAGGTCCAAACTTCAGTTCAATGTGAAAAGGAAAGAGTATTCACCTATATTTATTGTTAATGTACTCCTTGACCAATGACAAAATTGATATTCAAAGAAAAGATCGACGTCAAAACAGAATTATGTACAGGGCTCTTCGAGCGATAGACGTAGCCATGACGGCGGACACTTTGGCGGATCGTACAGCGGTAGGCAAGAAAGTTACGGTGGTGAAAGGAGGTCGTTCGGCGGGGAGGATAGAAGACGATCACCGGCTCGCGAGAGCTTTCGCAAGTCGAGCGGTATGGGCCCGCCACGCGAGCCGGTGCGCCCCGCCGGCCGCCCACGTGCTCCTCGCCGCTCTTTCCGCGGCCGTACTCTTCGATCGCGAGCCTCTTATCGCG